GCCACTCAAAGGCTCTATCGTACACATTGTCGTCTGCAACTGCCGTCGTCTTCTTTGCCTCCAGTGCTGCCACCGTGCTAGAATGAGTGTAGTTACGGTAGCAGCAGAAATGGTAGCATATGTCCGATGCTACACAATCGGGACTGCCCTCCTGGAGGGTAAGTAAAATCCGCTGGCCTGCTTCATCTCCACGTGCATTTGCCGCACGGATCAGGCTTTCGCCAGCACGGAATTCTGAACAGAGGGTAAGCGGTTCAGCTTTCCGGTTCTTTTTTTTTGTTTTTTGTTGACATATTATACACAGAGTGATGTCGATGGTTATCACTTTGCTTCGTGTCATAACACGCTTCTTGGGAGGTTCATCCTCACAGGCATCTGCGTCACCCACCTCCTCTGCGTCAACATTGCTGGCAAGGCCACCACTCTCCTCTCCCTCAAAACGACTCAGAGTCTTCTTGTGGGTGTAGGCTGCATAGCAGCGCCTATGGTACCAGCCACGCGGGGTGCTCTCATCCGTGCTACACTGCTCCTGGCAGAGAAAGGCCCATGTGCCGTCCTGGCGAATTTTGGCAGCAGATACCACTCGAGACCAGCTGGTGTTCGTGAAATTTACTTTCTCCTCCTTTTCGCTTCCTTCGATCTTCACACAGTGGCACAAACATGAGCCCCACGAAATTTCCGAAACCTGAGTACTGGCTGAAGCCACTAAATGCCCAACACTACCTGGACTTTGTGCACAGGAGGCACAATTCTCGTCTTCCTCCATGCTTACTCGCGTAGGATTGAAATTGAAAGACCTCGTGCTTCCTCAAATAAGTTCCCCGGCCAGCGTCGTCATTTTCTACGGCGTCGTCATTTCCTAAATTTTTCAAATGTTTGTCGTGGGTGCGCAATGTGTGCATGCTCAAGCCATGCGCGTACGGACGCACGGCGAAAATAAATTTGCGACCTCCTTGAGAACGCTTGAGAAGGCTTGCGAAATCGTCGACGAAAACCCTCTCGCCGCTCGTCTCCTTCCCCGATTCAGAAGGGCCAACAAACATTTTTGACCTTCTATAACCATCACCTATCAGCTCTGAAAGCGGCAAATACTCGGAGTGAAGTGGCAGACCCAATTTTATTTTTGAGCTTCGGATCCTGTACTATGCACGCTACATTTAGCTCTGATCCTCTCATGAAAATAGCTCTGTGTCTGTGTCAATAGCGCCTTTCAAACTCAAACTCAGTCAAAGCACACGACTCTCTGCTAGCTGCTACTACCGCGGTACCGCTAGCCATGGCCTTGTTACTTGTGAATGTATATCCTTCAATTCAGGCTTGCATGCAAAAATAAAAGGACCACGTGGGTTTCAAACTCAAAACACGTGCGAAGCGACATAGTCACTTGCACTATGCATAATTTTTAAAGTACAGACTGTACTACTACTAGTATACTGCCTTACCATGCTTACTGGCTGATATTAGTACTGTACAGTCATGTACGTGTATGGTAGACACATACACGTCTACGTGTCAAATCAGTCGATTTGCTCTTTTCCACAAGAATGAACATTTTTGCTGTTTTGCCGCGCTGGTGCATGCAGTGCCAGTGTCAGTGCCAGTGCCAGTGGGCTCATGATCGCCACTGCCAGTGACCAGGTGACCGTGACCCGTTTTGTGCATGGCGGATGCTGCCTTTCGCTGGCCGAAGTGAGGTCTGAAGAGCTAGCGCTAGAATCTAGAAAGAGGGAGCTCGAGGTAGATCTACCGCACCACTGGAAAATGTGCCGTGAAGCAGCAAGTCGTTGCCTTCTTTTTTTCATTTCCAAAATTGTTGACTGTACATGGTCGTGGTAAAGCCTAAAGCCACATGTACTCGTTAGATAACCTCCATCCAACCTACTGAAGTCGCTAGGGTTTTTCTGACGATACTGATTTCTGGCTTGGCCTGGACAAGTAATAGTTAGTTCTTTGCTCAAGACGTGAGCGGAACCGGGCCCATGCAGCGCTAGCGGGTCTGACGGTCGCTGGACTGCCACAACTACACATAAACACAGGGCGTGTGCCGGCAAGTGAAGGTGGCTAGAACAGGCCTAAGAAGGTGGAGCAAGACTTTTCGAGAGTTTTGTTTGTCTGATCTTATCTGGACGATAGCCGCTTGTCGACTCAGGACCGGGTCAACGCTGCATGCAGCGCTGGGCGAGTGCACCTGGCTGGACTGGGCACTTGGACTTTAAAGTCTTTAGTTTAGATCCACTACTACTTGTATTGCTAGTGCGCACATACTTCAAGTGATCATTGTCGCACACCATTTGTATGCACAGACCCAGCAGCAGAGTTCAGACGGCGTGGCAGTTTCATGAGGTGTGCAATCGCCTGGGAAGTCTTTGAGTGCTTCATCTGTATACAGCAATCCTAAGCGCTGTCCGTGTTACAGCCTCGGAAAGCAATAATACCGCCCTGGAGTCTTAGAGGCGGGACTGAACGATGAGGAGATGCTGCCGACTTCAACATGTGCTGGGCTTCAGTGTGGTCGCCTGCTTCTGCGCATTCACCATATTCGTGCTGTCCAGGCGCCGTGGGCTGGAGAAGAAGTGGCCACGGCGTATAGACATATTGCGTGACTTAGCAGAGGAGGAAGACATCGTGCACCTCAAGCAAACCGAGCGCAGCGAGCAGAAGCTGAACGCCTCCTTGTATGAGCCATACCTCTTCGTCGCTATCAAATCCGGCCCGGCGAGAGTGGAGAGACGCAACCGCTTGCGAGAAATGTGGGTGCAGAGCTGTCTGAATGGTGAGGCCAGTCATGCAGCCAGGAAGAAGAAGTCATTCGTATCTTGTGCTTTTGTTGTGGGCAAGGCTAATGCCGAGACCCTCAGAAAAGATGTGATTGCAGAGCAAAAAGAACATAATGACATGATACTGGCACCAATGCCGGAAGGCTACAGTAGAATGACTGCAAAAAGCCTGTGGATATTCCTGTGGTTCCACTCGAATCACCAGCACCACTTTCTGATGATAACTGAAGACGACGCGCTGGTCATGTTTAATACGCTGCTACCTTGGATTGGTGTTCAGCCGAGGGCGCGCTTCTATGCAGGTCATTACCATGCCGCTCCGATTGTGTACCGATGCCCTGACGCTGCAAACACCAATCCCGACTGTGTCTCCAGAGAGGCGTACAGCAAAGACCTGTACCCGCGATTCGCCAGCAGTTTTGCGTACGTCGTGTCGCGCGACATTACGCTCCTGGCCGCCCACACCGCTCTGGGACGTATTGCATTCCCTGGTCTGCCAGGCAACGCTGAAGCAGCCATGGTGGGCGTACTGCTGGACGAAAACGGAATCGATCTGGTCGATGCCAAGGCATTCATCAACTACCGACTTGAGATGTGTCCTGAGATTGCTGGAACAGGCGATATCATGGTTGTTGGCAATGCACCACAGGACATCATGGAAAAGCTGGCGGAGAACATCGACCATAAGAAACCAGTCTGTGCAGGCGTGCGTGTACACAAGTGGCAATAGTGTTCCGCTTGGACGTATCCATCGGGTACACGCAGCGGTTAGAACTGCCTCACCACAACTCAGCATGATCAGGTACATGAATGCAGCTCCTAGTACTGTACTTGTCGGTGCAACCTACACCATCAAACATGTCAGCAGGCTATAGTCTGCTATCAAGTCCATGGCACTGCAACGCCAAAGAGAATTGGAAACGTGCCGCCCTGCGTGTGGTGGAATTCCAGTGAAGACAGTATGACAGTATGCTAGGAGTGCCGGGTCTGGTAGCATTGGATACTGCATGATCCGAAGAGAGGGTTGAGGGTGAGATAGACCACCCTGTGGACTATGTTTCTTTAGTACACAGAAACGGAAAGCCAGAACGGTCTCAAATATGCTGAGGACCCGTTAGCTGGAATGGTGGAACATTGCCGATGATAACCAGAACTTGGGACTGTGATATCGGCGTGCAAAGCAATGCACTCATCCTATTGTATTGGGAATGATGTCAGTTGGAGTGATGACAGTGATGGGAACGAGTTTGGGGAGCCTATCGGATCACCATTCTATTCTCGGCTGAGCACTGAGCTCTCCTTCCGATTCAGTAGTTCCTACGTGTGGGCTGCTGGACTGAATGACCTCGGCTGACTAATCAATCACCTCTACAACATACACATGTTGTAGGTCTGTTGCTGTCGAATTTGTCTCTACTAGGCACGCATGGCCCGAGCAGGTCTACTGTTGTGGTCCATTTGTAATTACAGATTTTCACCATGAAGCCCAGCCACTGTAGACCACTTGCTTGCTTTTGGCGACGGCTGCAGAGAACAGGAGTTGACTAGAACCTATATCTAATCAGAACACTCTCGCAATGATAGTTATTTTTATCTCTGGCATAGCATCTTCCGGCTGGACCGGCAGCTCATGTAATATAACGCTGTTTTCCTTTTCTGCTCAATGGAGTGAGATATTAATATTAAACATGCTACCTCACTGGGATTTGTACACATGTAGCAATGATTTGTGTTGATGGCTATTGTCATGATAATAGCATGTAATTGCAATTTAGTTTTGTTGTGTTTGCCACTGTGTGTGTGTGTGTGTGTGTGTGTGAGTGTGAGTGAGAGAGACAGAGAGCAGGTAACCCATGTTAGAATGCACTGTAGCTGGACAAGATTTTGGCAGACGCCGCACTGCTAAAACCCTAATGATTTAGATTCCGACCAGGGAGTAGTAGAATACCGGGTATTTTACTACACTGTACTCCATGATACCGACCGCAGTACAAGTGCGCGGCGTGCCAGTGTTGCTCCTCACAGCATCAAAGGTTTCCCACAAGAATGTCCCCTTCCCGGGCCAAAATGACTGCAGTGGCTGAGGATAGGATACTGGTAGATAAACAGATACAATGTACTTTGATTGAAACCAACCATACAGTCATAATCACAGGGTATTGCGCTAATCTGGAAACCCGCGGTAGATCTAGACCTCCAGCCACACAAGAGTCACCCTAGTCATCCGGTAGTAGGCCTCGTGGCCATTGGTATAGTCATAATAGACTTCTTGCGTGAGGAATAATTTGATAAAGAGCAGTATACACATGCAGAACTTGCAAAAGAGTTTTGTAGCATAGGGCACGGCATGGTGACAATATGCAAACAGGACAAACGAGCAGCAGAGAACAGAAGAGATCGAAAAGATTCGAACAGAAAGACTACATTAAGTCGAAAAATATGATTGAGAATCATTCAGGTCAGGAGGGGAATAGAGCAACAGCCAAAATCAGTGTGTTGAACAGCCATAGTCAGCAGATTGAGCAGCCATAATCAGCGGATTGAATGATAAAACAGCAAGTCACCGACTAAAATGATCAAACCGTATTCACGTAACGCAATGGTCAGAATAGGGAGAAATCAAATTCAAATGAAGCAACAAAACAAGACAAAAAAATCTCTGTTGAGTCCACTCAACTCGGACAGCGATGCATTGAAAGATCCTCATGAAGAGACATCCAGATAAATCGAAGTCAAAGAACAGAACAGCAAGTCTCAGCTCAAAATCAAGAGACGCCATAGCAGAGGCAAACAGCAGCAGTAGCAGCAGTACCCCACACGCGGCAAGAAGCAGCAGCAGCGAGCAAGCAAGCATGGCAAGCGTGGCGGCAAAAGTCCTGATGCTTCAAGCAAGCCCGTCGACTGGGACATCAAACGCCACCATGGACTCAAGCAAGCAACGTGGAAAGCAGAGCAGCACAGACGGACATGCAGCGGGTCAACTTAGATAAAACGAGCGGGCAGCGCAAGATTACAGCGGATCACAGCCAGCAAGCGGTGTACTAGCGGTGGCAGGGAGATGGCAGAACAAAAACAACAAAATAATGATGTGCCTGCGGCCCCTTGTTTTCGCAGGCAGCTCTTCAGCTGACGGAGAAGCAAAGCTATGTGCAGCGAATTTCAGCGAGATGGAAAATGTAGGACAAGTTACAAAGAAAGCCAGCGTAAGGCTTGAAAAGTTTACAGCGAGTTTTGACAAGAACACGGAGGCTAAAGCTGAAGTGACAATACCCCATAGCCTACTGCTGGCAGAATAAGGCCAGACAATAAGACCACGAGAAACGGAATTGGACACTAGCATCGAGAGTGATAGGTGCTACATCTGCAGAAGTAAGAACACCTGCCAGAGTCATTGTGACATTGCTCCAAGAGCAGCAGGGAGAGTGAGGGGCGAGGGGCTCACAGTAGCAAGAGCCGCCGAGAGAGAGAGAGAGAACCAGGACGGTGGTCCATCAAGCAGCACCCCGGAACCAGAGAACATGCCCTGGGATGCCCTGGACACATGCAGCTGCTTGACACGGCCAGCCGTCCCAAGTGTAGGCAGCAGCTCTGGGAGGGCCAACGATAGTACTGTGTGATAACCTGGCGGCAAGGAGAGGAGCCAGCAACCGGCACCACACCCCCACACTCACTGCAACATTGACAAGTACGAGAGAGCAGTTCCGCCACCAACAACGGAACACGCCCGTGTGTGCATGACAACACTAGCACGATATAAAACAGGTGAACGCCTCATCTACACACGGCGGATGGAACGCAACTACCTGCAATCAGCACAACAGAGCACAGGGAAAATACAGCATAAGGGGTCGTCCGTAATTATCGAAAAATTAAAAAATCCGTCCCCGTGCAAAATTGTCTCTGACCCACCCACCCACCCCCCATTTTTTCCCAGTAATTTTTTGATTTTTACCGATGCCCAGCTCGAAAATAAGAACTCCTGACCCCGTGTTCACTGATTGCACCTACATGTACATGAATGTCAAGTACTAGTAGCTAAGTAAAGTGAGTAGGAGGTCTACCGAAGGCCATGCACGTCCTACAACTACAAAAAAGTCATGTACCGGTAATATCATACTGGTGTTTGCGATCCTACACTACATCTACAGTGCACTACATGTCAGTGTATGAAAGTCACTGACGAGAAAAAAAAAGAAAAAAAAAGTACGAAAAATCAAAAAATTAAATTCCGCCAGCGCTCTTGCCCACCCACCCCCTTTCTGCCTGAGGACGGATTTTTTAATTTTTCGAAAAATACGGACGACCCCTAATTACACACACACTTCAATACACACACACACACACACATACACACACTTCAATACACACACATACACACACACACACTTCAATACACACACACACACACACACACACACACACACACACACACACACACACATACACATACACACACACACACTTCAATACACACACACACACACACATACACACACATACACATACACACACACATAATGTACATCTATGTGTCATAATTTCTCACAAACATGTACATATGTCATGCATGCATACTAGTACAATGTAGTTCAAGCCAAAGGTCATGCACGGCAAATGCACCGCGGCACGTACATGTACATAAATCACTGTACATCGTGCTTCTGCTCGGCAGTGTACGGTGGACACCGAGCGTGGTCCTAGCACGTGACATGGCCCTGTTCCATGCATGCCAGTCCGCCCAATACAAGCGGAATTTTGCGGGAAAGTCGTTATACTCAATGCATTTTCAGGTCTTTGGGGACCAACAATGTGTCAGTAAATCCGATATATCGCTATTCTCGTGGTCACGCTACCCGATCTAAAATGTATGTAAAGGTCCTGCTAAACAACTTGGGTAACATAATCGACTTGTCGTTATATGCAAGGCCGTTATATCCAATCTCCACTTCATATACTTACTGGACAGCAGACACGCAGCGAACAAAACAAGGTCACATGCCGTTGTGTCCATTCTGGACAGTTGCATCGGTGTCATACACCAGCTGCTCGTGAGGAACCCATTCGGCGCCAGCAATAGCAGCGGCATGTAATGGCATGCCCCTGGGAGGACCACCGGCTGCAGCCCAGGCAGGTTGCGCACGGAAGAGCGCCTCCTCGTCGTTCCAGGGGGAGCCTAGTGGCAATGGTAACGAAAAACAAACAATTCAAGCTCTCAAGTTGTTCAAGGTACCAGAACCCGTTCCCACTTGTAACTACAAAATAGGGGTTATTACAGCATTCGGGTACTCGCCTGGGCTATTAAAATATAGCCGTACTTGTAGACCATAGGACGTCTTGTTCATTGTACACGCATCTGCTGCAAAGTTCAGCAGTTTCAGATTGTGCAAGGAGTAGAGGTGGAATGGTGGATAGGAATACAGCAGTAGAGCAGTAGAGCAGTAGAGCAAGAGAGCAAGAGAGCAAGAGAGCAAGAGAGAGAGAGAGAGAGAGAGAGAGAGAGAGAGAGAGAGAGAGAGAGAGAGAGAGAGAGAGAGAGAGAGAGAGAGAGAGAGAGAGAGAGAGAGAGAGAGAGAGAGAGAGAGAGAGAGAGAGAGAGAGAGAGAGAGAGAGAGAGAGAGAGAGAGAGAGAGAGAGAGAGAGAGAGAGAGAGAGAGAGAGAGAGAGAGAGAGAGAGCACTACCCAGTAGGGGCAAAACCTGGCTGAGTGAACAGATGCTTTCAGCGACCACTTGATCAGCGTGAATATTTTTCCCTGCCGTCAAAGACTGACAAACATGAAGATCACGCTTCGAAAAAATCCGTAGAGCCCATACGGATTTTGGCACAGAAAATCATACCCCGGGTCTCTCTAAAGTTGAACAAATACATCATGAGACAGACACGATACCACCCTGGATACAGCGCAGCCATTTTTATACTCACTATGCATGTGCTGCGTTTCAAACTGGACGTGTGACTGGGCTTGCTGGCGTGCGACACCAATGTTGACTGCAGACGCTAGACCATCAGTGTCGAGTGGTGCAGCGCCGAATGCCGCCGTTGGAATGTTCATCGACACACGCCCATTGCTGACAGTAGCACCGGGCGGTGGAGGAGCCACGGGGAAGCCATTGGTGGCTGGCCCTGCACCCGGTGCTCCAGCAATGGGCCTTGCCGCGGCGACATTGTGGCGATGCGGAAGCACTTGAACAGGTTGAAGCGGACGAACGCCAGCTTGGCCAACCTGTTGCGCTTGCGCCAGGAACTGCAAAGAGGAGAGAAAGAGTGGTAGTATACACACATGACAGGGGAAGGAAACGAGAGAGCTTGGAAGCTCAGGGCCCTACGCTATGCTTTGTTGCCTAGCTCATCGTGCATGTTGTTAGAACTGATGGAAATATTTTTTCCTTCGATTAGCTACATCATTGTATTGCAAAAACGTTTCAATGAGTTACTGAAGTAACGTCTTCTGCATAGCGACGGGACCGGCGCTGACTCTGCCGATCACGGGCGTTCTGGAGTCGACGGGATGTCTGTCCTGACGTTTCCTGGGACCGGCGCCGACTCTGCCGATCACGGGCGTTCTGGAGTCGACGAGATGTCTGTCCTGACGTTTCCTGGGACCGGCGCTGACTCTGCCAATCACGGGCGTTCTTGGGCCCTACGCTATGCTTTGTTGCCTAGCTCATCGTGCATGTTGTTTAGGGGTCGTCCGTAAATATCGAACTTTTTTCACAAAACGAAATAATTTCGTTATGGGGTGGGAGGGGGTTGACCAATTTCGTTTCAGAAAACATTGATTCATGTACATGGCCGTTGTATATACATGTATATCAACATTTTTTACGTTCTGAGGGGGAGGGAGGGAGGGGTTGGGTCTAAACTAAAATAATTCGTTTGGTGAAAAAAGTTCGATATTTACGGACGGCCCCTTAGAACTGATAGAAATATTTTTTCCTTCGATTAGCTACATCATTGTATTGCAAAAACGTTTCAATGAGTTACTGTAACGTCTTCTGCATAGCGACGGGACCGGCGCTGATTCTGCCGATCACGGGCGTTCTGGAGTCGACGGGATGTCTGTCCTGACGTTTCCTGGGACCGGCGCCGACTCTGCCGATCACGGGCGTTCTTGGGCCCTACGCTATGCTTTGTTGCCTAGCTCATCGTGCATGTTGTTAGAACTGATGGAAATATTTTTTCCTTCGATTAGCTACATCATTGTATTGCAAAAACGTTTCAATGAGTTACTGAAGTAACGTCTACTGCATAGCGACGGGACCGGCGCTGACTCTGCCGATCACGGGCGTTCTGGAGTCGACGGGATGTCTGTCCTGACGTTTCCTGGGACCGGCGCCGACTCTGCCGATCACGGGCGTTCTGGAGTCGACGAGATGTCTGTCCTGACGTTTCCTGGGACCGGCGCTGACTCTGCCAATCACGGGCGTTCTTGGGCCCTACGCTATGCTTTGTTGCCTAGCTCATCGTGCATGTTGTTAGAACTGATAGAAATATTTTTTCCTTCGATTAGCTACATCATTGTATTGCAAAAACGTTTCAATGAGTTACTGTAACGTCTTCTGCATAGCGACGGGACCGGCGCTGATTCTGCCGATCACGGGCGTTCTGGAGTCAACGGGATGTCTGTCCTGACGTTTCCTGGGACCGGCGCCGACTCTGCCGATCACGGGCGTTATGGAGTCGACGAGATGTCTGTCCTGACGTTTCCTGGGACCGGCGCCGACTCTGCCGATCACGGGCGTTCTGGAGTCGACGAGATGTCTGTCCTGACGTTTCCTGGGACCGGCGCTGACTCTGCCAATCACGGGCGTTCTTGGGCCCTACGCTATGCTTTGTTGCCTAGCTCATCGTGCATGTTGTTTAGGGGTCGTCCGTAAATATCGAACTTTTTTCACAAAACGAAATAATTTCGTTATGGGGTGGGAGGGGGTTGACCAATTTCGTTTCAGAAAACATTGATTCATGTACATGGCCGTTGTATATACATGTATATCAACATTTTTTACGTTCTGAGGGGGAGGGAGGGAGGGGTTGGGTCTAAACTAAAATAATTCGTTTGGTGAAAAAAGTTCGATATTTACGGACGGCCCCTTAGAACTGATAGAAATATTTTTTCCTTCGATTAGCTACATCATTGTATTGCAAAAACGTTTCAATGAGTTACTGTAACGTCTTCTGCATAGCGACGGGACCGGCGCTGATTCTGCCGATCACGGGCGTTCTGGAGTCGACGGGATGTCTGTCCTGACGTTTCCTGGGACCGGCGCCGACTCTGCCGATCACGGGCGTTCTTGGGCCCTACGCTATGCTTTGTTGCCTAGCTCATCGTGCATGTTGTTAGAACTGATGGAAATATTTTTTCCTTCGATTAGCTACATCATTGTATTGCAAAAACGTTTCAATGAGTTACTGAAGTAACGTCTTCTGCATAGCGACGGGACCGGCGCTGACTCTGCCGATCACGGGCGTTCTGGAGTCGACGGGATGTCTGTCCTGACGTTTCCTGGGACCGGCGCCGACTCTGCCGATCACGGGCGTTCTGGAGTCGACGAGATGTCTGTCCTGACGTTTCCTGGGACCGGCGCTGACTCTGCCAATCACGGGCGTTCTTGGGCCCTACGCTATGCTTTGTTGCCTAGCTCATCGTGCATGTTGTTAGAACTGATAGAAATATTTTTTCCTTCGATTAGCTACATCATTGTATTGCAAAAACGTTTCAATGAGTTACTGTAACGTCTTCTGCATAGCGACGGGACCGGCGCTGATTCTGCCGATCACGGGCGTTCTGGAGTCAACGGGATGTCTGTCCTGACGTTTCCTGGGACCGGCGCCGACTCTGCCGATCACGGGCGTTATGGAGTCGACGAGATGTCTGTCCTGACGTTTCCTGGGACCGGCGCTGACTCTGCCGATCACGGGCGTTCTTGGGCCCTACGCTATGCTTTGTTGCCTAGCTCATCGTGCATGTTGTTAGAACTGATGGAAATATTTTTTCCTTCGATTAGCTACATCATTGTATTGCAAAAACGTTTCAATGAGTTACTGAAGTAACGTCTTCTGCATAGCGACGGGACCGGCGCTGACTCTGCCGATCACGGGCGTTCTGGAGTCGACGAGATGTCTGTCCTGACGTTTCCTGGGACCGACGCTGACTCTGTCGATCACGGGCGTTCTTGAGTCGACGGGATCTCTCTTCCGACGTTTCCTGTGACCGCGCTGACTCGCCCGTTCACGGTTATTTTGGAGACGACGGGATCTCTCTTCCAAAGTATGTTTTTGCTGACGCATCCTATCACCTATTCGGCAACTGACGTCCATTCTAATTGCATTCCCTCCTCGTCTCCCTATTTCTTTCCAGAAAGTCTCCCTATACATCAGGGAGTTGTATACATAATACGACGAATATTGGGCCAGCTGTTTGTGGCCAGCTGCGTTTGATGGTACGGTACGGGACAGACAGGGGAGCCAGCAAATATCGTGGTCAGCTGTGTTTGATGGTACGGTACGGGACAGATACGGGATAGCGCCAGGCATGACAAAAACAAACAAACACCAAATTGCTGTGTGGACCCTGGCTAGCGCCAGACGATACTGAAGTAACGTCTTCTGCATAGCTACGGAATAAAGATATATAGATAGAGGTAGTGAGATTGAGAGAGAGAGATAGAGTAATGTGCTGTGCAGTAGTTGATGAGATTGCGCAAGTGAACCGTAGGAAAGAACAGTCAAAACATTGGGCATGACCCGGTAAAAAAGATTTTGATGTATTCAGTTGTACCTGATGAATTTATTGCCAGTCATGCCCAATAGTCAATACTGTTTTGGAGTAATGTAGCACACCTGGTTGCAGGCAGTAATAAAGTTCAGACGCCCATAGGTGCTTACCGGGTCAAATGCGGGAGGTGGCGCCATGCCAGCGGGCATGATATGCGGATGCGCAGGTGGTGGACCGGCCGCCGACAGATCTATCTTTTCCATGCCGTTCGTGATCATACTTAGACGATCGTACGCCTGCTGAAAAGAAATGGTGAGCGTAAGAGAGTTTACACAGTCACCAACACACACACACACACACCAAAAGAGCCGTACACGAGACCAGGTCTGGTTAAGTGGAAAGAAAATGTTGATCTCTTCCAAGCACAAACATTGAGAGCGGTTTTAGGTTTTCAGAAACAACGGTGTGGTGCAGGGGTGGTGGCTGGAAAAGACTGAAATTACTGTAATTATTACAGATGCACTAATTGTACACCTGTACATTCCCATTGGCCTCCGAGTCAAGGAGAATATACAGTCGCACTGATGTGTAGTACCAAGAGTACAGAACCCCCCCCCAGAGTGTGCAACGCCTGATCCAGCTCTGCATAGGGTCTTGGTCGAGCGTAATCGGATCTTCTGATGTCATGCGTACACTCCACACCAGCGCAAGGCCGGTCCCGAGCCAGGACACTGTTGTTTTTGATCCGAGAGTACCCACGATTCCCCGGGTTCCCCTCAGATGTGTACGGTATTATGAGGCAAAGATCCGATTACGCTCGACCAAAACCCTATGCAGAGCTGGATCAGGCGTTGCACACTCTGGGGGGGGGGGGGGGTTACCGTATGTACTCTTGGTAGTACCCATATCACGATATCTGCACCACACCAAGAAACATCATTATCAGGGTCGCACGCGCTTTGTTATACGGACAACTGGTTTGCTTTATGCCGTCTGTCCAGAATCCATCACCAAGAAAATGCATGTATGGTCTCTTTTCTATGGGACGGAGGCGCGCACACTGCCTCCATTACAGCCAGCAGCTGCAACCAGCACACTGCCTCCATTACAGCCAGCATCTGCAACCAGCACACTGCAGAATATCAAACTCTGCCCTTACCTTGTGGTTGGAAGCCAACTTTGAATGGGACTGGGGCTTCTGCACCCAAAGCTTGGAGATTGAGTAGGTACTCAACTAACCCAGCAAAAATGGATGTGCTGCTATGAGAGGTTTGGGGGTTTAGTGCATGAGAGCAAGGCATGATGCAGGCAGGTTACGCAATAAAGGCAGCGGGCGGCGCACTGTCCCATAACTTGCCCCTTGGGCCAAAAGCACAGTTACATACTCTTGCTTGTCATATTAAATGGGTTTTTTTCTCACCCCTTTTTTCACACTTGAACAACGCCAGGATCATCCGTCACATAATGCGGATGCATGTCCTATGTACTGTAAAAGCAGAAATTTTCGGTGGTGTAATATTTTCAGTATTCTCCAAAATCGGCGGTTCGGTAGAGGGAAATTTTCGGCAAAACCCGTTCTCCAGGTAGGTGTACTAGTACTACATGTATACAGTATCGGTTGTACCAAAATTTTCGGTGCGTTTTAATAGAGAGGTTCCGCATAACGTAATTACGTTAGTAAAAAACGTAGTCGATCTACGGAAAGTCTTACGTAAACTGCATGCGGATCTGGGTTCCGCCATACGGAGTGTTCAAATCACGTAGCTGCCCTTGGCAACTCCGAACGCGGCAGTGTACGACCAGATCGACCTGGGGAGAGAGTCATAAATTTGTACCCCAATCCGCTTACGGACCAGCTACGTTATCAGAGCCCTATCTACGTACTCTACGTAGACAACTTTCCGTAAGTGGAGTGCAAACTCGCGAATTCACGGGTTTTTCCCGCCCACTAACGTAAACTTTACGTAGTGCGGAACCTCTCTAATATCGGTAAAAATTGTCGGCACCGAAGGTACCGAAAATAAAACACCACCGAAAGTTTCTGCTTTTACAGTACGTAATAGTGAACTGCAATTTCCCCTACTACATTTGTCAGGCCAGCGCAATCGGTCAAGTGTACTTCCACCTCCCTGGATTGTGTTTTCCAGAAACAGATTGTTACAAAGACAATGCCGTTATAAGAAGTATTCTTTATAGCGGTAGGGCAACTGTGCATGGGGTAAAATGATTACTTACTCGACCCTGAGGGGCTGCTGGCCCTCGGACAATTGGTAGCGGAAGTGGCGCAGCGTTGACATGAGCTGGAATGTAGCCCGTGGTGGCAGCGGTGACAGCAGCACCAGCAGACGACAGCGTCGCTTGGTGTTGCTGCTGCTGATGGCGGACACGCTGCTGCAGGTGCGGCGGCGGGTGGTGGTATTTGCACGGCGGCGAGCGACGCATGCACCGGTCCTTGATGAAGTCCATGCAGACGGTGACAGAGTTGTCGTTCGGGTCAAACTGCACCTGCGGGCCCGGATGTGCAAAGCGGCACTCGGTAGCAGGCCGTCGACAGGCGCCACGCAAGAACTCCCTGCACGCCTACAGCAAGCAAGCAACGGCAAGGAAGAATAGGTTAGCCAAGCTTGCAGCGATTCACAGGTCAATAGGGCTTGAAAGTGATGACGTCAAAAACGGCCAGGGAGTAGTAAGTTGACATCAGATTTCTATTTTGGATCCACTAAGGTGTGACTTTGCTATTGCCTCAGTATGTGGGTGCATAGCAACCCGCTCATGTCGTATGCAGGGGTGACTTTTACTTCGCCACCAGTTGTAACCCCGACCCCAGTAGCCAAATCAGTCAGTTTCACTGGCTACACCACCTTACTGTGAGTAAGACGGCTTGAAATGTGCTTGGATCCATACAAAAACTGGATCCAAGTGGATCCAGTTTTTGAATTTTTTGAAATTGTTGCTATGCTGTGACATAGCACTTTAAGCCCTATATACTGGCTGTCAATTCTAATCACATGTTGCATTAATCCTTGTTTTGCAGAATGCTAGATAAGAGCAAAGATAACACCTGATACACTATTTACTTGTATCGGGGAAACATCTACTGTCTGTTGTAAATGTATGAGCCCCGTACACACTACCATACGCACACACTCCCCTGGCCCCTACACATATTCATGCACTCCCTGCTGACCCCGTTTCCCGCTCACCCTGTCTCACTAACTGCATGCACCCCTTTTCCCGCTCACCCTGTCTCGCTTAATGTATGCACCCCTTTTCCCGCTCACCCTGTCTCGTTTAATGTATGCACCTCTTTTCCCGCTCACCCTATTCCCACTTACTGCACGCACCCCTTTTTCCCTCCATAGCTTTAGTTATACCCTGAAGGCTGCGCTTGCGCAGGCTGATCGATCTCTTTGTGCTATTCTCCTAGTCTAGTCCTTTGTGATATTCCAGTCTCTTTCCTCGAGATAATATAATCATTCTAAAAGCCCTACGAGTGTACTGAGAATAGTAGTAACAAGAGAAGTTGTAGTTAGTAGTCCTTATTTGACTACATGTCAACACCCAAGACTCAAACCAGGGACCTTGGCTACAGGCTAGCAATGCTCTACCACCAACGCTGCAGTCACATCAATGCGACTCAGCAGTTCAGCCAAAGAGTGCACTTGTGTACCCCACAGATCAGTGGAGATTCGGGGCTCTTAGCCGTGAGTTGTTCGAAAGCGCTGAGCGACCTGTGCTGAAAGCATTCAGCTGTCACAAAAGAAGCAAGTACCGCACCACTATTTCAGAGAATTGCCTTCCGTTCGCTAGACAAGATTTCGACAACATGACTCTATGTGTGGTAGTTCAGGGCATACCCGCACCAAAGTTCACGTACAGGTATACCGAGGGTGAAAAACTCAAGATTCCCTTTCCTCCATTCAGCACAAACTGAACACGACTCGTTTGGTGTGACCGCAGTCTACGCTAGAGTGTGGTCATCAGTTAGTCACATGATCACTACTGTGTAAAGAATGCACTCGGATGGAGAGCCAAGGATAGAAAAGAAAAGGGCCAAGGAACTAGAAGTTATGCTATAATGTCCACTAATACCACCAGTTACTTGACAATCAGCTCATGCGATAACATTGCACAACACTGACCAACGGTACTGACGTTCTACAACTAACTGCCAATGAACTGGTGGTGTTAGTGGACATTATAGCGTAACTTGTAGTTCCTTGGTTCTTTTCTTTGTTATAAAACTGTGTAAAGACAGCAACATTTTAAAAAGTTCACAGCAGCCCAAGCAGAAAACCTTACTTCCATTCGGTCGGAACCGTCTGGTCGGCGACCACCAGGAGGAGGTCGAACACCGTTGACAGCCACTGGCTGCTGTACGGGAGTTGCAGCGTTGCTCCGGTTGGCAAAGCCCGGGTCAATAGTCGGCTCCATGGCCAGCTGTGGAATCGAGGGGCTGATCTGGGAAAGGTGGACAGGAATAGGATAGCACACACGCTAACAATTAGGCAACATGCCAAGCTTGCCATATTCGCACACAGGCCCTTTCAGAAGCTTCTGCACAAGCTCCACAGTGAAGTTGCACCGCAAGACGTCATTTGTAAACCATTAAATACTGTAAAGTCGCTCCGCTCCTACTGAACACAATGCTGGTTTCCGGACCAAAATGCACACGTCGTTGCAAGAGTGCATGAACCAGAATGTGCAACAGACAGTGTCGTAGAAGCCAAGGGCGTATTTTTCAGATCGCATTGACGCAGTGCAACGGTAGAGTTGTGGATCGCAGTTTCCATGACTGGTCCGAAATGACGCAAAGTACTAAACGATGAACTTTGCTGTCATAAACCCATATGCAGAGTTGCATACTCTGACCTGTGTGTACTCCTGCTCATAGGCATGGGCTTACATTCGAGATCAAATGTTCGCTACACTATAGTATTCGATTGATTTCTCGCGACAGGATTGGTATGATGGATGCACACAATGCTGTCCATTCTAGAATAAATTACGAAGCACAAACCATTGAAATACCCACAGTCGAACGTTTCTTAGGACAAACACGAAGAGACCGATGGAATTTTATGTCACAATGAGAATTCTTGTTATCTGTACTCTATACACTGTAAATACGCAGTGATTTGTTCAGTACACCCACACCTCAGTTATCCAGACACCGAAGTTACGGGCACTTCGGTCTACCGGGCACCATTAGGTGAGTGTTAATGGAAATAATTACTACTCTTATGTTAACTTATAGCGGAAATAGTCGCATCACATGGAATATCTCTGGCCTTTCCGCAATCAAAACAAATGTGATTCAGAGTTATGGACATTCAAAGTTACTGGCAGTGCCCTGTCCCGGACCGCCCGGATAAACGAGGTATGAGTGTAGTCATGAATGCTAGTTCTTCTAAAGCAGAAGTATCTCGTATCAGTGTTCTTTGCCTGAACACAATTTCCATGGAAAACTGGGTTTAACCCTTTATTACCGGCCTGCAGACTTTCGATCATATATGATCGAAAGTCTGCAGGCCAGTAATATCTTCGTAACTCGATCATTTCTTGTGCGAATTCAACAATCGAAAGGTCTATTTGGTAGCGGAAACTCCAAGCTATCCAATGCAACAATCGCCGAAGAGTTACGATGTCGGACACCAGAGATATCGCACGCCGTATTCTCACCTCGGCAAATTCAAATTTTTGATCGATCACATCGCCATTTTTTGGGAAAATCCCTTTTCGTGCGCTCTTTGAGCGACTAAACACATGATAATGACGTAGTCAGCTGAAGTTTGAATCGTCTCAAACAAATTTGAGCGCTCTGCGATGAAGGAGAGTAGAATGGCATTGATGGACGAATTTGCTTGCATATCAGGCTTGGAGAGGACTTTGCTATGTTACCGCGCCTGATCTGTGGCAACTGGATAATGGAGCTTGGTACCCTGGCGTTGCTCTCGCCAAGAGCTTTCCAACGAGCCCGAGATTGTGAAAATCAAGTGAAGGAGACCAAAGTTATGACCTGGTGAAGTTGGAAATAGTGCTGAAATTCGTAATCCTGGTGCATGCTGTGCAAGTAATCCGGTAATAAAGGGTTAATTATACCCACTTTGAACTGAAGGTCGAATTTTTAAAACTGCCATAATCTACGCATCTGACATGTGCTCTCTGAATCCCATGTGCGCCTGCCACTTGGTGCAAGGAGTCATAAGTGATCTTGCCACGGTTTTCGCGAGTGGAGCATGAATAAAACTCACACGTACCTCCAATTCGCTATCTTCAAGCCTTCAATCTGGGGTTTTTTCTTCCGGCCATTGGAGAATTTTCAAAGTAGAACCCAGAACATGTTATCTAACATGCCTAACACTATAAAATTTAATGATCAAACATCACTGTTGCCTATGAACTGGATTGTGTATGATATGATCGCACTTGCCAGAATGTGACATGTACCATTTCAGGCCCAACACAATGTTTTTCATATCCAGAGTATGGTGGTACGAACCGTACTCCGGATATGATTTTTCCGCATTAAATGTAGAGGTCTACAACATTTCCCAAAAGCGTTATTATACTTCGACAAATATGGCAACTAGCGACATATGCGGCAAGCAAGTTCCAAGTGAGGCTGTTGCGGTCATGTAGGGAATCGGATTTCCGGCGAAAATTAACGTGACCTTACGGTACTGTCCGCAATGCGTGTGGCATGCTGGTTACAGCATTTCATTATTAGGATTCATCCAAAGGATGTATGGAGTAGAAGTATACCAAGACTGATGGATATCAGCATCAGCACCTGGACAATATTCGCCTTTGTATATTACCTTCACTTCGACTTTCTGCAGCAACGGTGTAAAATCACAGCTAAGTCTACCAATTAAGGGCCAGTAAATTGAATGTTGATTTTTCAAACAAAAAAAGTACTCTCGAAACCCAAAGCAACCAATTTCTCACCAATGAAGATCTCGTCGCTGGGTAGTTCGCATCTCCATTCTGGTGATGGCCATGCGTTCTGCCCGCATTATCCAATTGCTCTTTCTTGATGCGGCGGCTGGGATGGAGGTATTTGCACTTCGCCCGAGTGCATTGACCCTAGATAATAATTGCAAAAAATAATTTGTGGAGGCGAAATGTTTTTTCACTTCATTGCAGGAGTTGAAAGCCATTGACTCCAGCGAAGATACAAGCTCACGGGGTAAAAGGTTTCACACATGTGCAGAGATATCAAGCAGTTATTCGAAGACCAACTTACTTTCAAGTGGTCATAACATGAAACGACTTTGTCATTATTTACGTCCACATGCTCCGGAGGATGAGCATATTTACAATCGTCATTAGACCGAGAGCAATCTCCTCGCAAATAGTCTCGGCATACCTCGACTTGCAACCAGCGATTGTCTCTGGCCATTGCGCTAGGACAAGAACTGCCCACTAAATCTCTGGCCAGCATTCAGTTAGTTTTCATTACCAGCATGACTTGGAGAGGGAAAAGTGTCCTATGCACTAGAACTGAGACTCGGAAAATGAAAACAGAAAAGTAGTGTGTGTTTGCTCTACGAAAACCTGCCACCTTTTGTTCAACTTCAGGCTGAGTGAGAGCGTGCTGAGCTGAGCTGATGAGGGAGTGACAGGTGCAGCATGCATTATGTGTGGCTGACAACACTGTCAAATGTGGACTTCGAAAATGTGGACTTTTCTCAGTCAGGCTCTGACTATCAAAGATGCGCAGCTCATATCCTGCTCTATGCCGCAGTATGCGTTTAAAAAATATTTTTGACTTATTAAAATTTCATTATTTTTGATTGACGCGAATATTATGGCAACGTAATAATTATTATAGCTGTGAGTCGTAAAAATACCACGACTCTCGATCTCTAGCTAGCTACAGCTGGCCAGGTAGATCTACAACCCACCTGCAGTAGTGGCAGGTGAAGAGCACCAGATCAGCAGAGGCAGAGCACGTAGATCGACAAACCACTGCTGGAAACTGTAGCTGCTGGCAGTAGACCATGGTAGACAGACTGTCACTGTGTCAGTTGTGAGTCGAATCTTTTGCCGTTTTGGTGGTGACCTACAGTAGTTTTGCTTTAGTACTAGTTTTAGTTTACGGTCGCCGGCACCTGATTTCCTGTTTTTTGGAGACCTAATAATTAAATTATTATATAATGGCTTCGACTGGATATCGGATCATTTCCGATTCACCTTCAAGAGAGTAGATCTACCCACCAACCAGGATACCGCTACAGTCAGTACTGCCTGTAGACTCCATTGGTCTACATCTAAAATACTAGTATTATATGTCTGGAAGTGGATCAACTAACTTTTAGATCCCCTATTCGCGATCAAACCTTACACTTGCAACCTTTCAGTTTTAGTAATAGTTGTGTTACGGCTAGCGGCTACTGCTGTGTTGTGCAACTAGGAAGGCAAGTGACCGCGTAAGGGTAAACAGTTGACAAGTGAAAAGTCAGCTTGGACCGAACGGGAGAAAACGCTCAAGCAAAAACAGTCCATCATCTGGCAGGACTCGGGTGACACTGGCTCAGTCTTCTGCGAGTTGAAACAGTAACGACTGCCAGTGACGACTGCGTTTATCGCTGGATGTTTATCTCCAACTACTGCGTGGAGTCTCAAGTAAATTTCGTATTCGTCTTCACTCTACACTTATTCCGCTTGCCCTCCCCCCCCCCCCCCCCGCCGAGTGGAACAGGGCTCAGTGCCTCGCGGATGACGGATTCCTTTCGTTTAATGTACGAACTACGTCATTTTGGAAGCATCCAACAGCAATTGTCTGTTTCATCAACAGAACCAACCGTGACCCCGCCCGCATACAGGGCCTGGATGCAGTGAGGACGAACGAGTGCAAACACATCTTCAGTTTAGCGATATCAGCCTCTCTGTCTCTCCCTCTAGTTCTGCGGCAAGCACTGAGATGGCCGAATCAGCGGACATTGCCTGTCAGGTCAATACACACAGTGCGGACGTGTCGTTAAGCCGTGCGTTCTTACCCCAGAAGCCCAAAAACAATTTGGAACAGACAATTCCGATACCAGACGATGATAGCGAGCAACTGTTCTCGTTTCGCAAGCTATGGGCATTCACAGGCCCAGGATTTCTGATGAGCATCGCCTATCTTGACCCGGGGAACATCGAGTCCGACATGCAGTCTGGGAGCGCTGCCGGATTTCATTTGCTGTGGTTGCTATTCAGTGCTACATGCATGGGTCTGTTGCTGCAGCGCCTAGCAGCAAGACTGGGTGTTACCAGCGGGCAGCATCTAGCAGAACTGTGCAGACAACAGTATCCCCGTGTACCACGTATTGTCCTCTGGCTCATGATCGAGCTGGCCATTGTCGGATCCGACATGCAAGAAGTCATCGGAACGGCCATTGCCTATTCGTTGCTTAGCAACGGCAAAATCCCGTTGTATGCCGGGGTCCTGATCACCATCGCCGATACATTCCTGTTCTTGTTTCTGGACAATTACGGTCTGCGCAAGTTGGAGGTATTCTTCTGCATGTTGATCACCGTCATGGCGGTGACGTTTGGTTACGAGTATATTGTAGCAGCACCTAACCAGGCGGAGGTGATGAAAGGTTTAGTTGTGCCTTGGTGCTCAAATTGCGATCGGCCAGCGCTAAAACAAGCGGTGGGCATCATTGGTGCTGTTATTATGCCGCACAACTTCTACCTTCACTCTGCCCTGGTGCGCAGCCGGGATGTCGATCGGTCATCTTCTACGAAGGTCAAAGAGGCCAATTTCTATTTCTTCATTGAGTCTGCTATCGCACTGATGGTGTCCTTCGTCATCAACTTGTTTGTAGTGTGCGTGTTTGCTGAGACATTCTTCAACATGAGTGCGAGTACCATCATCAATGAATTCAACTGCTCTGCGCTGGGAAGTGCTTCCGACTTGACTTTGAATGGTACAATTGAGTTGGACTTGCGCAAGGGAGGGATCTTCTTGGGTTGTCGTTTTGGCGATGTAGCCAAATACATATGGGCAGTAGGTATATTGGCGGCCGGCCAAAGTTCTACCATGACTGGTACGTATGCTGGGCAGTTTGCCATGGAAGGGTTTCTGAACATCAGCTGGAGTCGCTGGAAGCGTGTGCTCCTGACCAGGTCTATAGCAATTGCACCGACATTGTTCGTTGCCATCTCAGCGGGAATTGATGATCTCACTGGCTTGAACGACTGGCTGAATGTCCTGCAATCCATTCTTCTACCGTTTGCCGTGTTGCCTGTACTGCACTTTGCCTCTAGCAAGGCTGTGATGCGTGAGTTTAGAGCGGGTCTTCCTATGCAGATTGCCATGTGGATCTTGGCCGTTCTGGTGATGGGAGTTAATCTCTACTTCACATTCAACTTCTTCCGCAGTCTGTATGGCAAACTCCCGTCAACAGTCTCCCGAGTTGGCGTCGTCCTCGGTATTATTGTTTTCTTTGTAATCTATGCCGTGTTGGTGGGCTATCTCATGCTGTCCGTATTTGGCCTGTATATACGAGGCCTTTCTGAGAAGTTGGGTCAGACTTCAGGTAGATATGCGTTGCTTCATAATAACGGGTATACCCGCATTGACAGGAATTCCCTTGAGACTCAAGACGATGATTAGACAACAAATGTTGGCCGTTGCATCGTTGTTGACGTAATTGTAGTGTGAGCACCATCGTGCTTGGTGGATCGCAATAAATCAGGAAGTGATATCAGCACCTCCTTTAGGATGTTTCACTTGGAGAATTTTTTTGATTCAGTTGTATAAAATAAATATCATCTGTATCAAATTCCTTGCTGGTTCTTTGTTGTGAGAATCACTAACAGCAGAGTCTGTTTGTTGTTTTGCTGGCATATGGTGTGTTTAGAAGGAACTGCGTGAATTATATAATTCGGATGTTGAGCCAATAATGTCTCTTGATGTCCCTTTCCTTCCTACAATTATAATAATCATAATATTGGTGTACGTAGTGTTTATCAGAACATTATGTCAGTATCATTATCTCTCTCTCCTAGCCGGCTTGACACTGTGTAGTGTTTGAAAAATTTAATATTATACAAAATACCAGTGTACTTTTTTTCCAACCTTGGTTTTGTTGACCATGATCAAGAGTAGATAAACAAGAGTGTGCAACTCGCGGATGGGTTGGCCCACGGCGGAATTTTTTGTTGACGTAATCTTTTCGACGACGCACGCGCTGCGAGCCTTTTGGAGAGGTTTCCCTCGTGCACTTGGCCGGACATGTCTGTGCCCAGCACGTGCTCTCACACTGCTCTGCGGCCAAGTCCGCGTTTCTCTGAAAAAAGGTGACGTCAACAAAAAATTCCGCCGTGGGCGGGGGTATCTGCAGATTGTGCAGGAGAGATCCGGAGTTGCACACTCTTGTTTATCTACTCTTGCCATGATCCATCGAGCATGAAGGACGAACGAAATATTGTATGCAATTTTAAGTTTTGAGAATCGCGATGAGCAGAACCAGCTGAATCAACATTATTAATATTACATACTGAAGTACCAAAAACTTGAACGGCTATTTATTATCTATATTGTTGCCGGATGATTGAACTGAGCATGTACATGTAACTGAAAAGTGCAGCGAGAGATAACCTTGCTCCACCTTGTCTTTGATACTCTGACAGTGCACTATTACGCCCTAGCGGCCCTGCCTTCGCAGCATCTCAGCACTTGTCTTGAGTCTGACTCTTACTTAGCACACTGCGGGGGGGGGGGGGGGGGGGCATCCTCCAATGACATACTGTATTACTGATGTACCTTGCCATCTTGACTACTTCAGATTGAGTACAACAAGTACCCGGTACCCGGACCCCTTCCTTGGCTCTGAAAAAAACTACATGTACTGGAAAAAGGTTTAAAAAAACTAACTGCATGCATGGCATATATGCGCGATGCTGAGTACATGCGTCCGGGCCGCGGGCCGCGGGGTCCTACTTGCCTTGGCCTTCTGTTTTGTACTTTTGTACGTAGATCTACTAGTACGGTACTAGTATTGAGTCTGTTGAGTGTTGCTTTGCTTTAGAATTTATTAGAATCACTGTAGGTTGCCTTTTGGACGTGGGTTTTGATTCTCATTTCAGCGTTCACTCGAAAGTCCTTTACGCTTTCACATAGTACTAAAACCTTGTAGCTAGTGGCAATGTGGCATTCTTCCCGCTCTCGCTCTCGGAGCAAGTCTTCTTCCCCTGCTCGCAGCTCGAGAGGTAAACACCGACATGACAGAAAGGACAAAGACAGAGATCGTGACCGACGACGCAGACATCACTCGCGCTCCCGTAGTAAAAGTCGGTCTCCTCGTAGAAAGAGCCGTTTTGCTGCTATCAGCCCATCTCCTGAGCGTGTGGATCGATTTGGAAGGAGTGTAACCAGCCGGGAACGTCCCAGAAAGGACGAGAGGGAACGCGATGGTCGGACTGAGGATGACCGAATGCGTAGAATGTGAGTGCATGTTTGTGTTGTTCAATCGTTTAAGCAGTAATTATTTAGCCATGTATTATTTAAAGGGGAAGTTAAGGCAAAAATTAAAATTTCACCAGTTGTAGTCTTCGGGGTGCTGAGTCGAATGGTCGTGGTCCGAGGAAGCTGAGACACTCCCTTCCTACTTGAATCCCAATCGAACTCGCGCACTTCCACCGAAACTGGGCGACTGCGCCCTACTAGATGGGGATTTGTATGCAAAATGTCACTAAAAGCGCCATTTCGTTCTTATAAAAGCACGGATGACCGCGATTGGCCCATATGTTGTAGTTTTTTGGACGCTGAGTCGACTGGTTTTGGTCCGAAAAGGCTGCGATGCAGCGTTCCTCCTTTATTCCCAATCGAACATGGTTGAACAAGCGGTCACGTGCTCCTGCGTACGCCAGTCACCTGGTCACCGTGCCTGCAGGGTACAACATACTAGCCTGTTTGACCTTTTTTGGGTGCAGTCCTGTCACTCGAGTTGAACCTTGGTGTGAAAGTTGTCGCCTGCTGGCGTGGTGACCAGGTGATTTGGGCACCCAGGAGCACGTGACCGCTTGTTCAACCATGTTCGATTGGGAATAAAGGAGGAACGCTGCATCGCAGCCTTTTCGGACCAAAACCAGTCGACTCAGCGTCCAAAAGACTACAACATATGGGCCAATCGAGGTCATCCGTGCTTTTATAAGAACGAAATGGCGCTTTTAGTGACATTTTGCATACAAATCCCCATCTAGTAGGGCGCAGTCACCCAGTTTCGGTGGAAGTGCGCGAGTTCGATTGGGATTCAAGTAGGAAGGGAGCGTCTCAGCTTTCTCGGACCAAGACCATTCGACTCAGCACCCCGAAGACTACAACTGGTGAAATTTTAATTTTTGCCTTAACTTCCCCTTTAATATTGATATGATGGTGCAGGAGAGCAACAACAAACCTCTATCTTCATTCCAAAATGATGTTGCATGACCTTGATAAACTAAATCAGTTTTTCAAATTTGCCCGATTTTAGGATCTGAAGTTTGCTGTACCTTCAGTGTGCCAGGTAGAGATGAATGGCCAAGAAAAATAGCCATAGTCACCATCAATATTGTGTAGTAGAGCACCGCAAAATGTGACATTTTGTTGATTTTTACTCAAGTTTCCAGTTATTTTATTTTCATATGCACACAGACGAACAGCTACTGAAACGAAACTCGCCGATGAGGAGACAAAGCGAAAAATCGAGACTATGGTCACTCAGCGGGTAGCGGAGCAGGTCGAGGCATGTCGCCGTGAGATGGAGAAGGAAGTTCAGCTACGGGTTGAGGAAGCTCAGCGTGAAATGGACAGCACACTTAACGAAGACATGGAGAAGAGAATGAAGGTTCGAACGGAGGAGTACGAGGCAAAGGAGGTGAGTTTGGTTTGGCAGTGTGCATTGCCTACTTTTTCAGGGTAAAGTGTTAACGAGAATGTGCGTCTGCACGCCTATTGCTTTACTTGCAGGCCAAAACGGTATACAATTACAAATCATCAGTTCTAGGTGAACAACTTCAGTTATCGTATTTACCATGTATCACTGGCATACCGCCAGCCGTTTCTCTACAATATTTCTTCATGTAAAACTAAGCATTTGCCATTGTCTATATTGTGTTACCGGTCAAATCATAGTTATCAAATGAATGTTCCCGCCATGGTTGTTTCTGCTCCTGTTTGCAGTGCCTACTGCGACAAGAACGCGATACGTACTTGACCAAGAGCACCGACCTGCAGAAGGAGGTGGACGAACTGCAGCAGTCCATGGTAATGTTTGTGTGCTGTGTGGGTTGCGGGTCGGTGGTTTGGGCCCAAGTTGCTCAGTGACGGTGCAGTCTAAAATCGCCTGGGACTTCGTCAAGTCAGAACTTTGTTTTTGTTTTGCCCGTATTTTGTTGGAGGAAAGTATGTATGGCTACTTAGTATGTCTCTTTGATGTAGACTCCTATTACGCTTGATGATGATGTGGGTCGAGTACACATTCTAGATTGAATTCCGTGTCTTTAACGATCTGTTTTGCCAATTTCTTGGTCACTCTCAGGAAAGCAGGTCTTGATTTTCATGAAAGGGCTGGATTGTAAAGGCCCTTGAGGAATAGGCGCCCTGCTTCCACGGATCAGTGTGTTGTTGCTATCTGCCCGCTGGTGTGCGGTGTCCTGTACTTTAGTCATGCTTATGAAAGACGATGCGAGGAGCTGTAGATGTTTTTAAGAGCGGCGTACAATAGGCCTGCGAGGATTTCCTTGTGAGACCGCCTCGCCTCGCGTGTGCTGCTTTATACTCATCCGGTCGAGCAGTGTCTCAGAGAGTGCTGCTGCTTTACAGCACTACTGTGCTCTAATGGTGGCTTTTAGTAATGTGACTCACAAACAATTGCACCGATTTCCAAAACTCGGAAACGCAAGCAAAGATAGGTATCGCCACTGGTCGTGGAGGCCTTATGGATTCCATATCGTTAGGAAGAGAAACGTTCAAGAGAGATGCCATCATCAAAGAAGTCGTGGAGTGCGAGCGGCAAGTATTGTTTTGCTGTGACTGTGAGTCCTCTTCTTAATTCATGCCTTGTTTCGGTGAAAACGTTAATGGGCTTCATACAGGTGCATCATTTTGAGGAAGAGGTGGGTTTGCAATCTGACAGTTCTTTACTTCAAGGACCCCACTTGCTGTACACATTCGGCTACGATGTTCAATACAGAGAGGGAGGTTGCCAGTTGAAAGCTCATCTTTTCCTCATTGGCTTAGTTTCGTTTAATCTTGCATATGCATGCCACCGCAGAGTGCGCGCCTAGTCCTGTCGTCATACCCTAGGTATGCCGCATTAGTATCAAACGGTGTTGGCCAAATTAGAAATTACCTATACCATACACTTGCACTGCTACAAGAAGAAGGGTGTTACACTGAAGGATCGGTTTGTTGCACTTGCGCCTGGTGCTTCAAGAGGTTGTGTGCTTCTGCCGTGGCCTGTTCAGAGTGCTATCACTGAGTGAGAGCATGTAGTGCACATCTGTTCAGATCTGGTGCATTCATGGCTCTCGGCACCCAAGTAAGCAGCATCTTGATTCTCTTGCTTAGCCCAGGCTGCCGGTACAGCAAAACTACCTTGACCGTTGCTTTGAGACTGTCTGTGTTCTAATGCTTGTCAATTTCATACATATATTCTCTTTATTCCACTGTCTAACATTGCACCTTTCTCTCTTCTCTGTCCACAGGCAGACGAACGACTTCGAATGCTCGAGGAGAAGCGTCGGTTAGAAGAGCGCATAAATAAGCTCAAACAGGACCATCAGCAGGCGCAGAAAGCCATGCAAAATACGATACTAAATAAGGCCGGTGGTGCACGGAAGCCATTCTCGATGTCATTGAAAAGGTAGTATAATCTTTAGATTTTTACCCCTCCTCCCCCCCCCCCCTCCCTTTATACTTTTCCATCATCACTTTGGCTGAATAGAATTGAATCGCATGTGTACACAAATGTTGCCCTACCTTTTTTTGTAAATATCTTCCTTCATAAATCATTTTAACACGCATGAAACATTTTGATGAAGACCATGATATACACGAAAGCCCTTGTACATACACACCCTTCCCCATGAGGTTTTTTCACCGTTGGACTATCTCCTCCGCTATGGACCCGGAACTGCTACCAGTATGGTTCTCTCTCTCTCTCTCTCTCTCTCTCTCTCTCTCTCTCTCTCTCTCTCTCTCTCTCTCTCTCTCTCTCTCTCTCTCTCCCCTCTCTCTCTCTCTCTCTCTCTCTCTCTCTCTCTCTCTCTCTCTCTCTCTCTCTCTCTCTCTCTCTCTCTCTCTCTCTCTCTCTCTCTCTCTCTCTCTCTCTGGCTTTAGGCTCGATGTGTATCGTTGAGTTATTGCATCCCTTCTTATTGTATTGTATTTATTAGTCCGACTGTATTGTGCAGGGTCAGCATGGACCTGTGTGTATGTGCGTGCGATGCCAGTCTGGCAGTAACCGTGATCGTATTGCGTCATGCAGTACTTGAATGTGTATTGAACAGCATAACACCTACTAGTGTTATCTTTGGTATGCTCTTGCGGATCAGACTTCCAGCCGTACCTGCTTTTTAGTGTCGCTATTCATGCACGTTGCAGAAGTACCGGTAGGTGTATGTCCCTGAGCTGTGGTATGCCGATGTTGCAGAAATCCGACGTCTTGGGTAAAACAAAGCCGCTTTCAGTCCACTCGCTCACAGACCAGGCCGGGCCAGTTCCCTCAGGTTCTCAGCACTGCACTGGCACTGCGTGTACGCTTGTAAATAGTCATACAGTGTACTACAGTGCTGGCAACTGAAATCCGACCCCTGGGCCCTGAGCGGTGCGCTCACGTCGCAGAGAATGTGAACCCACCGCTCAGGGGGTCGGATTTCAGTTGCCATCACTGTATGTTGACAGCATGTTTCAAGGCGGAGGATGTACTCGTACTGTGTTGAAAACAGTGCTCCTGATTACAACCATCTTCAGTTGGTAGAGCCCGGCCTCTGTCTTGAAACATTCCCTCAACCGATCAATGTGTTGATCTATTAAGGCTGTGTTTACATGAAGCGTTTCAACCCGGGTTGAGTTCGACCCGGGTCAGATTTCAACCCGCCATGTGCACAAAGTGAATGGCGCGTTTACATGACGCATTGCGCTTGACCCGGGTTGAAATTTCGCCCCGGGTTGATTTCAACCCTCCCCCCAAGGGGAGGGTTGAAATCAACCCGGGTCAAGAAAATCGTACAAACGTACTTCTGTGCGTATCTCGCGCCAGGTTTGAACAGCACTGCAGATGCAAATTTCGCGCGAACGGATTCACGTGACCATACAGGACTGTAGAAGTGGACTTTTGGCGGCATATCAGTATTTGACCCGGGTCAACTGTCTTCATGTAAACGCTCACCTCTTTTGTCTGTCGTACAGACTTTCAACCCGGGCTGAACTCGACCCGGGTTGAAATTTCTCATGTAAACACAGCCTAAGGCTTGCATACCGGTATACCATACAATCAAGAGTACTGTTAAGTACTCTTGATACATGTACAATGTATGTAGTGCCAAATACTCGTGCCGAGTAATTATTTTGCAATATACCTTCGCATGCAAAGACGCAATTCCACACAATCAAGTAGACGTTTCCTTTCATCTATCAAACGTTTTCTTTCCCTTCTCTTCAGGATACTTAATTATAATAGTACAGGGATTGTTGGAAATTTGGAAAAACACATGTGCTATAATAACTGAAAAGACAACACTTCAACATACCGGTAGGTGAGAAATGAGTGAAAGAAAACGCTTGACAGTTCAAAGGAAGTAATTAGTTGTACAGTCATTGTTGACGATGACAGAATTTCACAAGGCAGATGATGCAGGTAAAATACCACTAAATACTAACTTAGAAGATACTGTTTATACTCCTTTTAGGGAAAAGTGCAGTGGTATTAATTTTGTTTTTGTGGGTTAGCGAGGTGAAATTCTAACGAATCTCAAAACTAGGGACCGGCGGATTCTGCTCGCAAAAGCAGTAAAATTGGCAGAACCATACAAACCTTATGGCGGGCAATTCCTCGAATTCTGCTCCATTTCTTTATCCACATACCAAACATGCATGAAACTTACCTGAAAAACGGTACCGAATTCTGCCAATTTTTCTGCCGGCAAAATCCGCCGGACTCTACTCAAAACCGGCAAATGACTGTACGATCGTACAATCTTTCTAGGACCTCCCGTAAGGGGTCGTCGCAAAAGTTTTCTGTCGTCCCTGAAACGAACATCGTTCTTTCGTACTCGGACCCCTCCCTCTGAAACGAACACTATGTTGGACAACGAAAATCGTATGCATGTGCATGTCATATGTACAGTGTCGGTCGACTTGCGATTTTGGCTCGCACCCCTCCCCTCCCCCCCCCCCCCAAATGAATCATGTTCGTTTCAGGGACGACAAAAAACTTTTGCGACGACCCCTAAGAAGAACAGCTATGTATGTTAGCAAGAGTACATACATGTATGTACTCTTGATGTTCGACATAGCAACTTTTTTTGTTACTTGTGCAGGCGCTTAGCACCGCCGTTGGCGGTGGTCCGGCCGGGGGGAGATCTCCCCCCGTAATTGTTTTGAAATTAGGGTGCAAAATCCTGCATTCTGGGCACTTTTGGCATTGTTTTACTATGGTGGTCGTGGTCGGGCGAAAACTTTGAGTGGTCCGGCCCGGCAAAGGTCCGGCCAAAGCCGGACCGGCCGGAGCGGCTGCTACGCCCCTGTTGTGCTGGGACTGATGATTACACCATTCAACAGATTTTATACACACGCACACAAGCAACTACCGTATTTTCTCTAAAAAAAGCCCAGGTCTCCAATAATGAGGGTGGTTTGAAATAATAAGAGCACAGTCTCCACAATTTTTTATTTGTAGTATTTAATAGCGCAGGTCACAATTGGAGTATGCAACAAGTATATTGACTGCATATAACAGCAGTACAACATGCCAAGAACATTATTTGTAAGGAGGTTTTCGGTCTACTCAGTACTCAGTACTGCAGTTGCTTCCTTCCTGGCGCCAATGCTATTGTGAAACATCTGTTTTGACCGTATATATGCCTGAGTTTAGGGTTGAAAAATCAGTCCTGATAATGGTCAGTTTATGCCTGTACCGGTACATCAGGGAGTCGTACTCACAAACTAGTTTGAGTACGACTCCCTGCTAGCTGCTGTACATATATGCCTTGATAGTTGACAAAATAAGAGCCCAAAAAAGTCTCCAATAATTATAATAGCCCAGTCTCTAACAAAAAATTTAATTAATGTAAGTTTGGGGTTTTCCCCATGCGATGACAAGATGTTACAGGGTAAAATCGTCATGATTTGAACGTAGATACGCCTACATATACACGGGTCGGGTCTCTCTCTCATATCAGCACATTTTCTGCTCTTTTTGTTCACTCAACTCAAGGCCCAAGTAAAGTTCTTCCATGTTCAAGGTTCTGGAACGAGAGGATTTGTACTTTTGTAGTGCTCTACTTCCTACCCTTACTGGAAGTTTGTGGATATTTTGAACAAGTTAGCAGCCTTCACTGTGTAATATTACTATTAAGCTAGAGCAGTGTATACGCGTAGTCATTCAATATTTCCTGTGCATTATTAGTCAATTTATTCTACATCTGCCTTGAAAGTGAAGGATAATGTGTGTGCAGCCGAAGATTTTTGTTGAGTCCTAAGTCTGAGAAAAGGCATCTAGATCTGCCTATTCTAACTCAAAATTGCCAACTCTTTGGAAGTGTGTATTGGATATACAGTCATAACAATGTTCAAATTGGCTCAGAAACGAAAAGAGCAAGAGAGTGATGCAGCACCTGCTCAGAAGGTTGGCCTTAGAGATCGGCTTTTGACCAAAGAGTTTCAGGAGGCTGTTGAGAGGGCACCGAAGACGTGCAAGATCGAAGCATCGAACCCAGACTGCTTGCACACGTTTAATGTGATCGTCACGCCGGACGAGGGCTTCTGGAAAGGTGGTGAGTTCGTATTTACTGTGTACGTACCAGAGGAGTACAACTACTCACCTCCCAAATGTATGTGCAAAACCAAACTCTGGCATCCCAATATTGCGGAGACTGGGGAAATCTGCCTGAGCATCTTGCGTGACAGTTCACTGGGCAATGGCTTGTGTTGGCTACCAACACGATCGCTGAAGGAAGTTATTTGGGGCATCAACAGTCTGTTCACGGACCTACTCAATTTTGACGATCCGTTGAACGTACAAGCAGCGGAAATGTATGCAACGAGTCGGCAGCAGTTTGAAACCCGTGTTACCCGCTACATCCGAGAGTACGCCACGCCAAAGCCTGCTCCCGCAGTAGAAAAATACATCAGCTTGCCGGGTCGGCCTGATAAACCTAGTCGGCCGTGGGACAGATGGTTTTAAGGAGACCATCACATCCTAGATTAGTATTTAGTTTTCCTTTGACGTGTTGCAGTACCGGCTGCTACACAATTTGAGAGTATTATGCTATTACATGTAGTTGTATTCCGCCGTCCTAGGAGTTTGGCATGTCATTTTTGTCGGTTTTAGGTGCCAGTTGTTCTGTTGTTTGTTTAATTCACTGAACTTGATAGTCTTCATATGAAGCATGCCATATTCTCTTGCCCGTACTTGGACAGTATTGGCCGGAGCAGCCTGGCATTCGAACATAACGTTTCAACTTCACGAAAGTCCAATGTAGCTGCATCTTATATCCCAATCGGAGATAGGGAGTCATGTGTCTTGTCCAGAATATGGTTTATCCATCTCGGCTCCACGTGCACCTTCAGTACATTGGAAGAGCAATAATTCCAACCTCAAGTTTTTTTTAAACCGCTACACTACACGTAATTTTCATTATAAAGTCTTTTTTTTTTAAATAAGATCAATAATTGCCTTGGCTAGCTTTTGTTGACATTATTCAGTTCTTCCTGATTGTATATTTTGGTTTACCAGTAGCTTGCATACTGTATAACACGTTATTTTCGGTGTCATTTTAATTTCGGTAATTTCGGTAGAGAATTCAGGCACCTAAATTTAGATTACACCTAAAAGGCACTAGAGTATGCACTGTATGCGAAGGGTAGGCTGGTCACCTAATTCTACATTACACCTGAAACCTGGCGGGTCCCTGATACCGAAATTTAAATTCACCTAAAATTACATGATATACAGTATACCGGGTAATTGTCAGTGTTGGACAACTACGGATAGCATTCAACTTTTGATTCCTTCTTCCGGATTGTCAGCGGATTTTATTTCAAATGCTGTTGAGGAGAGTCTGAATGTTTGGGTTCTGGAGGAGTTGATCGAATTATAATGACTTATGTCCATTTTGCAGCAGTAGGACAATAGTATAGTCATACTTGTTACGGTAAGAGAACCGTGTGGCGGGCGCGTGTATTTTTATCCGTACACGACCTCCCTTCGAGTCCCATTACGTTTTTGTAAGCTGGTTTGAACCATGGCATCATACAATGGTTTGTCCGACTCCGTGTTTGGACTCCGCAATGAGCACTGCACGCCATGTCGAAATATGTGTGTCGCTGAGAGTATTTCGCCTCCAGCTGGATGTGTACTGTACCATATATTGCAACTCTGCACCCATATACGCTCACCACGGTGTATGTTTGTGTGTTGTGCGTATGTGCAAACTGTGCATAATATAACTGTCTTGGCCGTCATATTCCGATGTAGATTCTACTCCTTGTGGTGTAGACCAGGTGTGCATCGGGGTCGATTCACATGGCTCTGCCAGTTGTGTAGATTAGGCTGTCACCTGGCGCTAGTTTAGCTTGATCTGTTTCATTCAGATCTTGTCTGCTATCATTGCGCAGAGAAACTCTGAGGGTGCCGATTTTGCGTTCTTGTCTTGCGTATGCGACGGGCGTACACGGTATATATACCGGTTTATGCTGACCTTTCATACAAACTTCCAGTCAACTTGCCCATCATGCTGGCGGCTTATACTGGGCATATAAACCTCATACAAACCCCCACCATAGAAACAGGAAGAAGTTGACTGTCAGTTTGTATGAAGGCATAAGTATAATACATCCCACTAGTACGCTTGTATTATATAATACCAAGAGTACATAACCCCCCAGAGTGTGCAACGCCGATCCAGCTCTGTGTAGGGTCTTGGTCGAGCGGAATCGGATCTTCTGATGTCATGCGTACACTTCACACCAGCGCAAGGCCGGTCTCGAGGCAGGGCACCATTGTTTTTGATCCAAGAGTACCCGCGACTCCCCGGGTTCCCCTCAGATGTGTACGGTATTATGACGCAAAGATCCGATTCCGCTCGACCAAGACCCTACACAGAGCTCGATCAGGCGTTGCACACTCTGGGGGGCTATGTACTCTTGATAATACACATGGGTGTGCGTGTGTGTGTGTGTGTGTGTTTGATGTTGCTCTGTCACCTGTGTGTGCATGAGTGCACAGCCAGATGCAGTCTGCATTGTACTATACTGAATGATTTACTCAGGCTGTAGCCTGCAGCCCATAAGCATGTGTAAAGCTGTATAGTTGGCATCTATCATGCCTGTACTGTAAGTCTACAACTTGTAGTGTGGCATGGACAGTCATTTCAACTCACACCAATGACATAATACAGCTTCCAAATTGCCAGCACAGATATTGCCATGACATTGTAATGTTGGCCCGCATATCAGATACATGTACAGTAAGAACATTTAAAGGGCAGTGCATTTTCTCGGCATGTCAATGACATAAAAAGACAGGAACAAAAACAGCAGCAGCAACAGCAACAGTAGCACAGTCAAGACAAAGTATGCGTTGCACGCATACATGTATGTAACACAGTCATGCACCAGCACAGAACTAGACTCACAAGATGTTCGTGGGCAATAGACCAGCGGCAACTCAGCAATAACTAGTTAGTACACCGTGCGTGCAGCACATCATCACACAAATAAGTACCAACATGCACACCGTACTACCGTGCTATGATAAGAAAGAAGCGAGGTACAAGCAGACACCAACACAGCGGCCATAATGGAAGCGGGCAAAGTGTGAGCGAGTCGGTACTCTGGCAAGGTAGCTAGCTGCACATGCCAAACCTGTGGGCTGAACACACCACCTTCCGCATTGTAAACAGCGCCAGCTAGCTGTTTCTTGTGGTAACACAGTTATGGTGTTACTGCACCAGATGGCACACGGAGTGCTAGATTCGACTTTTCTGGACATCACTAAGCAGCAGCTGTTCCCAGTTTGTGGCATGGCGTCGCAGCAGGACAACCAAGCTCACGTTTGCCAGTTTACGGATTACATGTGCAAAAGGCTAACACGCGTATGAACCTGACCGCTAATAACAAGAGTACATAACCCCCCAGAGTGTGCAACGCCGAAACAGTTCTGCATAGGGTCTTGGTCGAGCGGAATCGGATCTTCTGATGTCATGCGTACAATCCACACCAGCGCAAGGCCGGTCTCGAGGCAGGGCACCGTTGTTTTCGATCCGAGAGTACCCGCGACTCCCCGGGTTCTCCTCAGAGGTGTACGGTATAATGACGCAAAGATCCGATTACGCTCGACCAAGACCCTATGCAGAGCTGGATCAGGCGTTGCACACTCTGGGGATTATGTACTCTTGCTAATAAAAAGCTCAAGCTGGAAAGTGCGTGTCGTCTTCACAGAAGAGTCGGGTTCGCGAAACCATTCTTCAGCAAGACTCAGAGAGGATGCGTTAAGAACTTGAAAAGTCATATTTAAAAGTCATTCCGCACTCAGGTCATCACATAGGTGGAGGGGGTATAGGCAGAGGCATAGTATCACCAACGTAACGCTTCAAGTGAACACCTAGTCCACCACGGCCTTCATCATAGTCTTTTCTGTACTCGTCACGGACCTGCACATACGGACAAAGTATCACACAAACACGGCAACATAATCACATAAGACATGGTCCATGAAGGAACAACTAGACATGCACAAACATCACGCACATCCTGGCTGAAAGCACCACTCGCAAAAGGCATGCACAAAATACTTAGCAGTTATAGGATGAATAGCCAATGTCAACACAACTTTCACAGTACCTGGCCACCGCTCTTTCCTCGACCGTACTGCCTGCCCTCCTCGAAGCCAGCATCGAAATCCGTACGGATTACGCGATCATCCAGCTTTGTGGCGTTGACAAAGCGGTGGGCGTTCTCAGCATCACCGCGGCAGTAGTACCTACGAAGCAATTGAACAGAGGTTACGGAACACAACGCAACATGCATTTTCAGTGATAGCTTCAGCGGGGTGGAGAACAACGTGCCTTATCAGGCCACATGCACGTTCCTGAGCCAACAGCTAGCCCACTAACATCCACTTGTATACATTATCAACTTAGGCGCCGTCCACAACTATCACTATTTATCACAACCATACAAAACATAGAGCCTCTGAGACCCCCTCCAAACCGTACACGCACAGTGAAGTCCTTGTGAGAACATGTACGATAAATGGAGGTTTCATTCTGTGAACGAACACATAATCATTGTTGTGCCCTCACCCCTTACTGTGCATTTTGTATCGCCATAGCAACATGTCCTGCGACTCGAAGACCAATGCATCGTGTGCTCTGCCATACAGCCATATGATGCAGTACACAATACTAAGGCATAGTGGTGGCCTGCGGAAGCGAAGGCTATAGCTTGTGTGTTTCTGAACATTCAAGTGATGCTAACGCGGATCCCGCGAATATTATTATTATTATTATATTACACAATACTAGCGTCGTCAGTAGCATGTGCACTTCTTTTTCGTCAACGCATGTAGAACTAGCCACTTACTCGACAAAGGCAAAGCCACACGGCGTGCGCTTGAGCTTGTCCAGGCCTAAGATGATACGCTTCACTATCCCCGCCATGCTGAACAGCGCATAGATCTGCTCTTCACTCGTGTAGAAAGACAGGTTACCCACATACAGAGTGGTCGACTGGGACAACTTCTTCTCCAGGTCTTCGCGCTTGCCCTGCACAAGTACACAGTACATCACAGCGAAAGAGAGGCAACAATACATGAGCATAACACGTAATGTGCTTGCCTTGAAGTATTTTCAAACAGGCAAATGTGCGCCTACTGGGAAGATTTGTCAGCAACAACGTAACACCAATTGCGAAATCCATAAAGTGCTTGTAGTAAACAACCAACGCATATGGCCGATTGGTTTGCAGGCCTGCCTGCGAATCATGAGGTCCCGAGTTCAAGACCCACGCTGGTAGCAGGGAGCGTGTAAAAAGACTTCTTACGCGTGTTGAACTGCGCCGACACCCACGGTCAACTGGGTACTCACAGCTCGGAGTGAGAATAACAAGGATGCAGTTTACAGGGTTATGGGCCGTTACACACCCGATTGGTTGAGAGATTAACCTCCTCTCCCCTGATTCACTTGTGAGGTCTGCATTCGCCACTAAGGTGAACAGGCATAGTGGTGGCCTGCGGATGCGAAGGCTAGTTTGTGTGTTTCTGAACATTCAAGCGATGCCGACGCGGATCCCGCGAATATTATTATTAGTAAACAAGAGAGATAGCACTGTGCAGTGTAATCAACATCTTCACGATGAGCATCATCAGGCAGCTTTTGACGTGGAAATTGGAGTTAGTTACAACAAATAACTTGTTCTACTTGGTCCATAGTGTGTGGAGAGCTCAGCACGCTGTGTACCAAGCAATATGGTAGCAGCAGTTCCTACTTGCGTGCACCAAGTAGATGTGATATTTCTTCAAGTTTCTCATACATGTACAATGTACACCTCTTCAGAGCATTGAACCTAGCCGAGTTATCATAAATACTGAGCATTCTTCTTAGCATCTTCTTACCCTAAATCGAGCATCTCTGTATTCGCTTTTCGGCCCGAAAGACATTACGAGATTACGTCCTCCTCCGCCTCCTTCTATCTTCAGCTGTACAATGCGGCTGTCACAATCTGTAGTCTAATAATGAGGAATACTAGTCTTGATGTTCTTATACTTACTTCCCGAATTGCATGCAAGGGAAGTAAGTTACAGCAGCTGCTATATTTTTCGAGCTCACTTCAATTCAACACTCGAGTTCTATTTTTGTTTTTGTTTCATTTTTCGAACCTTTCTTGTTGTAGTTCTGCTTTCCTGCCAAAATTCCTGGCCTGGTGCAAAAGTCAGTTTGTCCTGCATGACGTAATGATGTGTGCGGCGATATCTGACGTCAACCACGAAAAATAAATTTTCATTTTTCTCTGTAAATGATTGTCCTGAGCGTTACCATGGTTATTTGCACGCACGCACGCGACGTAACAAGAAATCACAAAAAAACTTTTTAAAAACAACACGTGCATGCAGTGCATAATGCACGTATTCTAGCTTCCAATCTCTCTTGTGTAATAATGCACATACAATTCGTTACAAGACGCAGGGCATGCCTCTATACTATGCAATAGCTAACTTGTGGCACATCGACCGTCATCGTGCTTGTAGAGAGCTACATCAGTGTATTTATACTGTGAAATATTGGTGCTGTACAGAAGTAGTTTCGTGGAGTTGTGCGTTCTGGATAACAGTGATTCGAGTGCTGTGTTTGCAACGAAAATGAATGGTCGCTTTCCAGGACCACATATCTGGTCTCCAGCTTATGGACGACCACCTCCTCAGCCGCACAATGCCTACCCAATGCTACTTGAAGGGCCATACGGCGTACAGACCATGGGCGCTTCGTCCTCCTATCCTGGGGCAGGCATGCCTTTTCAACCCAGGCCTCCAGCCTCTCTGTCCCAGTGTTTGGGCTTGCCCAGGAGCATGCCTGGCGGTGTACAGAAGGCTCAAGTATGTAACAATGCGTATCTACTTTCTCAACTATTAAAGTCCCACCAATTATTTGTGACATTTTCTGTTGGTGCTAGACTGCTAGTGAAGGTGGGACTTTTAGTCAACTTCGTCACAACTTGCTTCTTTGCAAACACACAGCTATGAAGATTCTGCGGACCCTATAAAGCATTTAGTGTCATTACTTTTCAAGTATTGTGCATGACAATATGTTGAAACATAGCATCAAATTGCCCAGCTTTGTCAGTGATGAAGCTATGATGATTGTAAAAGTGCAACAGCTAGCGAGCAATTCATGTTTCATCACCGCTTCATTGCCATGAAAGCTGTGTGAGTTGTAGTCATGCTGATTGGAAGAGTAAGGCCGCGGTCTCACCAAGTTCAGCCGTTTTTGGCTTGCGCTGAAAGTGGCTTGCGACTAGCCAGCCAAAACTGGCTGTCGCGTTTTTTTCCCGGGTTTTTCTTTATTTGGAGGGTAACCCCTGTGCCCAGTATACGTGATTTGCTTACACACTACGTCCTAATTTTGAATCTCCACGTGGGAAGAAACTACCTGACTACAACAAACGTCAACTCAAGTTCTTCAACTCCTCTTGCACTCTTGCACTTCAGCCAAAATTATTCAGCCACTTTCAGCTTTTCAGCGCTTCCAAAAGAGCTGAAAGCTGAAAGTGGCTGGTGCCCCGATTTACAGCCGTTTCCGTGGAAACCTCTGCCGAAAAAGCGCTTTTTTGGCTGAACGGCTGAATCGGGCTCGGTGTGACCGCGGCCTAATGGTATGAAACGACCCAGCAACAGCTTCTTTGTTGCATGCTTGAGAAGTTGAGATGTCTCACTCCAACAAAACTCACTATTTACTGCATTGCACAACAACAGCGTCATTGTTCAATATGCTGCTTGCGGTGCATTTTGTCCAACACTGCTGTCCAAGTGACACGTGTACCGTTCTGCTGCAGCTTGATCCATGCTGCATGACCAAACCTCTGGAGCCAAAAGTGAGACTCGCCCGTGTCTAAATGTGTGTATATTCTGGTGTTCTGCGCTTCCTTGCTGTATTCGACAAAATCTTGACTTTGTGTTTTCTTTGTGTACAGGGATTGAATGCGCCGTTGCCCGATGGTGTAGAAAAACAAGAGGACGGCTCGGTATTCTGCAAGAATTGTGACAAGAAGTTCCCCGACATCTCGCAGTTCAGAGCGCATGAAGCACATCACCGCAAGGTATAGTGTAGACTAGACGTTCGCAAGTCTTTAGTTTAGAGCTAACTTATGTACCATTATGGTGTTGGGGAAATCACTGGCCAACACCTGTTGTTTGTAAATGGCTGTCACCGCACATGTACAGATATATCTGTAGGCTTATTAGCACTTTTACGTTCCATCGCCCGATTCCTGCATAGAAACTCGGTGGAAATGATGCTTTCAAGCCTGATTCATACTTCGTTTCATGCACAGGAAACACACATCGCACGACGGTCGCACTATGCGCCCAACATATTCAGCTTCAGTCGACTTTTTTCGCGTTGCGACGAGTTTCCCATACGTGAAATGAAGTATGTATCAGACTTTCTGTATTTCTTTGATCTGAGGATGCACCCAGTGTGCTGACAGTGCTCAGCACCGCGGAGGCAGAGCGTAATACGCACAACAACACAGTCATGTTGCCTAGTGATTGCGAAAGCATGAAACTTTGAGTAGCGACTAACACACCTTGATTGCTCTTGTTATTCTGTGTATTTCTTTGATCTAAAATCATGCTTCGCTCCCTTATTCTTTCTCTTGTTGCAGTGTGACGTAGATGGCTGTTCCTTCATGGGAACTCAACGTGCTGTCAATATCCACCGAGAAGAGGTACTATTTTACAAATATCGATAGTTATCACTTTAAATAGTAGTACTGTACTTTCCTGAATATGTCGCGCCAAGAGTACATAACCCCCGAAGAGTGCAGTTCCAGTCTCAGGGGTCGACGGCGGCGGTAGAAGTTCCCATCACTTGACAAACCAGTGCACATTGTCTACACCCTGTGCATGATATCTACTGGGCTGTACACAACCCCGCTTTGGGTACAACTCTCTGCTGGTCACTTGGTACTGTTTGCCAGTGCAACCTACAGTCAACTTCGCGTATAACGACACTCGGCGGGGCATCAGAAAAGTGTCCTTATTCGCGAAGTGTTGTTATACCCGAAGTCTCATTTTATGTATTACAGTTGGATGGGACTTTGCTCTGGGCATGGAAATTCTGTCGTTATTCGCGAATTGTCGTTATATCCGCAGTCGTTATTAGCGAAGTTGACTGTATTTGAACGGTCGATATCAAGTGATGTTAAACTCTGCCATCGGCCCGTAGCAGCACTGGATAGAACTTGTACAGACAGTTGCACACTCCTGGAGGTTATGTACTCTTGGTCGAGGCTTTTTAGAATATGAGTCAAGACTTATAGTTAGATGCAACTTATAATGAAGGATATGGGGCATAATGTCCATCACAGATGGGGCACTATTCAAGAGAGTGCACTATTTTTCAATGCTGGTACATTTACGTCATCCCGCATAAGAACAAAGAAGGCAAAGAAAAACAGAGCCTAAAGTTTACTGTGAACTATCACGACTCAACAGAAAGGGCAACAAGAACTGCGATTTTGATCCTGAAACCACCAGTTCAATGACATGGACAAAAACATTACCGAAAGAACACCAAACTTGCACATACGCTTGGTTACAAGCCCCGGGGGGGGGGGGGGGGCACTATTCAAAGAGGGCGTTATTTTTTCACTGGCCCTTAGAGACTGGGACGCTATTCTAGAGAGGGCTCTAATTGCACGAGTCCGGTATCTCTCTTTTTGTGCTTTTGAGCTATACTGTTGTTGTTGTTGTTCTTGCTGACCATAGTAATGCGTGTGACTTCATAGTCCCTGGGTTTTGGTGTTGCATTTGCTCTTTGTACATGCATACGCACAATCTGATGTTGTTCTGTGTTGCTTTGATGTTGCGTTGTACCTCTTCTGCTGCAGAAACACAGTGCCGTCAGTAGCATGGTGCCTGTTTTGGAAACACCAGAACAAATTGCAAAGTGGAGGGAGGCTCGCAGAAAGTGAGCTTTATTCCCGTAGCTATGCAGAAGACGTTACTTCAGTAACGTCTGGCGCTAGCCAGGGTCCACACAGCTTTAATTTGGTGTTTGTTTGTGTGTTTGTGTCACGCCTGGCGCTATCCCGTATCTGTCCCGTACCGTACCATCAAACACAGCTGGCCACATACAGCTGGCCGCAATATTCAAATAGGGCTTTCAAACGCAAGATCATAACGTGAAGCAACTTGGAAGAATGAGTATGAATGCGAAGTGTATGGGGGATTCATGTGGGGCGATAGTGCGGGTTCGAATCCCAGGTAATGCCTAAAAAAATAGGAGAATTGAAAAATTTATAACATCCCTTTTCTTTTTTTGCCGTCATCAAGACGGTGTCGTATTACCCTCGATCGTACCTGTCCCGTACCTATCCCGTACCGTACATCCAAAGACGGCTGGCCACAATGCATATTCAAATAGGGCATTCAAATACAAGATCATAACGTGAAGCAACTTGGAAGAATTAGTATGTATGCGAAGTGTATCGGGGGATGCATGCAGGGCAATAGCGCGGGTTCGAATCCCTGGTTATGTCTAAAAACAAAAAGTAGAAACTTATAAGAATTTATAACATCCCTATTTTTTTTTCTAGGTCATCAAGGCAAAAAAGCATAGCGTAGGGCCCTGAGCTTCCAAGCTCTCTCGTTTCCACACACACACACACACACACACACACACACACACACACACACACACACACACACACACACACACACACACACACACACACACACACACACACACACACACAAGGGGGGGGGGGGTCCGACTACCACGGCACACCCTATTGGCAATCATTTTCAAGATCAAATGACATGTACCGTATTGTTTTGTCTGAGGGCCTATCTCATATAGAGCCTGTTTGAATGCAAGCCTGATTTTCAAGATAGGCTAGCCGTACAAGCGCCAAACGGGCTATTACCTTGAGGGGCATGAGCACCACACATGGTTTTATTCCTGAAGCGATGCAGCATAACACGCTACGTAGTAGCGTGGTGTCTGTTGGTATGGCAATGCGTGATTGTGTTTCCGCGTTCTGCTGTATAGTCTCGACCACAAGTCCACAGTTTGTCTTCTCTCTCTTTTTGTTCTATCATGTTGAAGGAACTTTCCGACAACAGAGAACGTCAGTCGCAAGAAGGAAGCTCAGCGACAGAGGCATGAGCGCGGCCAAGTGGCCCAGAACGAGTTACACCAGTAAGTTGGGCAATAACGATGGTGGTTGTGTAGTTTAGTACTCGTAGATGCCATTTGCTTGCACTGTATTTTGGTTTTACCTGTGATTCGTATTCTATTGAGTATGCTCATATAGAGTATTCCAGGGTTCTAGCCAGGTAAAAATAGGGGGGGGGGGGGGGGGGGGGAACAGTTACCGCTAACCCATTTCCATTTTCCGAAATCGTCTCGCCACCCTAAATGCAATGTACCCCAATGAGCTATCCACTGCATTTTCGTTGAATGGCCTGAAAAAACACCAAAAATCGACAACACAGGAGGGCGCTTAATGACAGTGGTGGGGGGGGGGGGGGGGGGCTGTGCCTCCCGCCAGTAATTTTATGGCTTCTTTATTCGCACAGGAATGTTTTACAATACTGTATGGAAATCAAATGAGAAGAGGACAGTAACGAGAGCAAGCATGAGTATTGTTTGTCACAGTGCTCAGGCGGCGTTCACGTCACTGTCATCAGTGCTAGGTACATTATCACCACCATTACTGACGGTGAGCTCGTCGCCATCATGGGTTTTTGATCCTTAATTCGGCCCAAATCGGACTTTCAAGAGCCAGCAGGACTGTTTCCGATGAAAGGACTGTAGGCCTGGGTGCGCAATGCATTTAGATCAGATGTGAAATACACTCATACCTCGGTTATCTGGGCGGTCCGGGAGGACCGGGTACTGCCCGTAACTTTCAAATGTCCGTAACTCCGAATCACATACATTTTGATGGGGAAAGGCCATGGATATGGCATATGACGTCACTATTTCCACAAAGAGTGACCAAAAAAGTAGTAATATATCCACTAAAACTCGCCCAATGGTTGCCCGGTAGACCGAAGTACCCGTCACTTCAGGGTCAGGATAACCAAGGTATGAGTGTAGTACATGTAGGTATCAAAATAAATAATATATAGTATGAATAAGCATTGAGTCAATAAAGGCATTACCAAGCTGATGGTGAAACGATGAACATTATTCCATGGATAAAAGTAATTTTGAAATTGTTCCACTGTTGAGGAAGCGAGTTGTGTGCTCGAAAACCTCATAACGAGGACAGTCTCCTCCAGCAAATATTTTAAAAGGCATTGTTTTGGCTTTTGTAGGTTAGAACATTCACGCGTTTAGTGACTTAGTGATTGTTCTACATGAATAATTGCCTGTTTCTCCCTGCTGCAGGTCTCGCAATGGGTTTGGTGCACGTGGCGGCCAAAGACAGCGCAACAAGCACCCTCACCAACGACAAAGCTATTCTGATCGGCCTGACCAACACCAGAAGAAACAACACGTACAGCACTCTGCCGTCCGCACGGACGGTATCGCTCCCGAGCCGCAGGCGAAGAGGCCATGCCCGTTCAACACCTCCAGCGGCAGCCCGAGCACCGGTACATCAGACACACTGGCAGCAGCAACACCCAGAGTACTGTTAGCAGGAGCGGAATTGACATCGGCTGCAGAAGCTGCGCCATCAGCATCCGTATCGACACCCACTGCTGTGTCACCTGGTACGTACTGCAATCCCCCATGCGCGTGGCACGTACTTTAATCCGCTGCAAGGAACAGGTGTAGCAGTGAAGTCACAGAAGTCACGGAGTGCTTTGTTGTAATCGTATGCATAATAAATATTCCCAATTTACACAACTGTGAATTCGGCGTTTACCGGTATACTATTACTATTATTGCAGTACTTGCAGGAGTGCTGGTATGTTGTGAAGGCATGCATTAATTTGAATTTCCTTGGTGGGGTGGGGGCACATCTCCAACCGCACTCACATACATTCCCCCTTCGCTCTCTTCCTTTCTTTTTGTTCTTCCGTTCAGCAAACCGTTCTGGTCTTGGTCTGCTGGGTTCGTATGGCAGTGATGAGGACAGTAGTGACAATGATGAAGATTCCGCCAGCAGTACACTGGTGAAGAGATCACCGGAGAGCTCTACACCACAGCTCGGTGGGGGCAGTACCGATGCTGCATGCGATTCCACTATAGCAAGTAGTGATGCCACTGGTCCGCTGGCCGAATCTGCAGCTCCTGACAGCATCAGTGACGAGGGCTCTGTTGGTCCGCTGCTTGAATCTGCTGCTCCTGATACTGTCAGTGATGATGGCTCTGTGCTTGACGAGTCGGCTGTTCTGTCTGCTCTGCTGGCAGATGCCGGGCGGTTGCAACCGCTTGCCACTGAACCAGTTGTACCGAATCCTAGCCAATGGGCTGAGGGTGGTGTCACAGCGCATGATGGCAGACAACACGGTCGACAAAGGCAACCGAGGAGGCAAAAGCAGGTATATATGCTGTGGTTGATTCAGGTATTTCTGCCTCTTTCTGTTTTATAATATCCCCGAGATCGCTACCACTAACTCCTAGCATGTGTGCTGTTGTGCTAGTACGAATAAACTGACCAGATCCTAGCACAGTTGCGGAAAGGGCTGATCACCAGCCATAGAGGTTAATACTTTTAAAATTAAGGATTAAATTTAAAATGTTCGGCAATATTTCTCGATCACAGTTAGGTACGTATCGCATTATCCCCAATAGATGTACAGAGCGTTTATTTTTTTTCAAAGGTGGTCAGACCTGTACTAGTATTGGAGACGTGTACTTTCATTGATTCTGGAAAGATTGATTGCCTGGTTTGGGTGGCAAGCAACTCATGATAATGATACTGTAAGGCTGCAAATACACTCCAAACATGTTACAGTCAGACCTCGCTTATCCGGTCCTCGTTTATCCGGATCCCTCGCCATCCGGAAGAAAATTGATGGTTACCGATGTGCAACATATGTTATGCATACAACATAACCGGACCTCGCGATCCGCATACCGGTGCATGATTTTGGATACAAACTGGTTAAAATGTGTACAAAAAGCTTCGTCGTATCCGGTTGCATGTGGCTTTCAGAAACTAGAATCAGGGAGTTGTACAGGCAAATGAGGTCCTTGACCTGCTGGGTGCATGTGGACAGCACTCAGTTGCATGCACTTGTCATTTTTCTCGCTTGTTTTACATGTTGTGCACGCTAGTTGTACTGCATAGGACCCGTCTACATGTATGTACAATGTCACTGCTTTTGACATGCCACATGCAAATGCAGTATGTGTGTTCAGTTATCCGGTTCCCTCGCCTATCCGGATATTTTGTGGAAAACAGATGTGTGCGGTTAAGCGAGGTCTGACTGTAATAAACAGCATAGAAAGATACAAAGATGATAAGCGGGTAAGAAAAACGAAGTAAGGTGGACCCTGGTACCTGTACTGCAGTGTCAACAGCAAAAAAAAACAGTACATGTATACAACAGGTACGCGGTCTTACATTTTCATAATGATTTTGTACAGTGCGCAAAATTATTCATAACCCGCGATCCTGTTGTCAAGACCGATTTTTGTGCCGTGGCGTGGTTCTGGTTTGTGTACAGTGATGCATGGTGTTTTCTGACAATGGCGGCGCCTACTCCGCGCACTCTAAACTGTTATAAGTCCCATATATTTGCTCCGATTTGCTTCAAACTTTGCCAGTATACTCTACTTGTCTTCAGGAATCGGATGGTATTACAATATTTGCCCGATTCTCAAAACAAAAATTTACCCTGACATCGCCAGCAGTAATGCCATTGAGTGCACCTTGGTCAATGCCTCAAGTAATATCGCATTTGTGCAGCGGGCTCCGATTTAGGTTCCGCTGGAGTCAGTTTCGCTGAGCCGATCTTGCATAGTAGCTTTTTGGTTGTCGCTTTCTTGTGCGTGCGCAAGGAGGTTTTAGCTGCACCTTTTTGTTTGACTGTGCTGTGATGCTTTGAGAGAGTTTTGTTTTAGTAGTTCATTGGAACGAAAGAGTCGGTTCTTTTTCTTGTCGTAGAGTTCGGATTCGTGACCCGGGACATTCCTTTCTAGTCAACCATTTCGTAAAGTCTTTCGTGTTGGGAGTCGAATGTGAGCTCGGGATACGGGACTGTATGCGGCAGACACCAAGCGAACCCACAACCTGCACTGACTGTGATTCTGCTTGGTGCGTAGTTGAGACTTGGATGCAATTCTGGCCTTCCCCGCGCTAAACAACGAAAAAAGATGTATTTTAGGTAGGGGTGAAACGGTTCGGGTAAGGAACCGGTTTTGGAACCACCAGCTGAAAAGAATCGAGTACCCGTTCCTTCAAATTTCGAACCAGAACTCGAAAAATCTCGTTCTCGTACAAATACATGTACCTGCCAAGTCTACTCAAGATTTTAAATGTCTTACCGTATGATCACCGCCCTTCCAAAGGGTTCTCCTATCGATCCTGGTCACTACGAGCGTACCTTCTTCGCGCATGGACCATGGACTCTCCGATGTCTCGTTCTTGCTCGTAAAAATGTTTTCTAACTTGAAAATAATTGTCACGGACGCATTTGGTCGGTCTGGAGAAAAGAGTGCATGGAACCGATACCCGAACCGTGGGAAACTATGCTGGCATTCGGGTACCCGAACATGAAAAACATGGAACCGTTTCACCCCTAATTTTAGGTTGGGTGCACTGTGTGGATGATCAAGGTGACTTTTGCCACTGCGTTGCCCAGGTTATTCCACTTCAACATAATTATACAATCACACATTTTCTTGCCCTTTCAGTGTAGAATGTCTTGTACCTGATTTGTGTCTCACTCTCCAGCGGAACAAGAACCCTCGCCATCAGGCACCGGCACCGGCACCTTCACCACCCAAGCCAGGGTTGTTGGAAAAGGTGGGTGGTAATGCTAAAGACTGAGTGTGTCTGTGTTCAGCCATTGCAATTGAAGCCATGGAGTATGTTAGCACCGTCCTGTGACATTACTCAATCTATGGACAGTTTCAACCCGTGGTCTCGCCGGCACAGCTCAGAATGACTGGCCAAACCTATTGCAGTATTGCAGTGAGTCTAGTGAGCAACAAAGGACTTTAAACTGGCTCTAAGCTTGTACAGTGCATCAGAGTCAGACTGCTCTAACTGCGAGAACACGGCAAGCTTTGCACAAAGGCAAATAACCGATGTTAACCTGATTGAGTGATCAACGAAGATGAGGCACAGACGGGTACAGTACTTTATTGAGTTGTTTCATTTCCTATTACATGACATTTACATGTACTTTCTTTCTCCGCTGTAGCCCCTTGCTAGCTTCAGACAATGGATGCTTGATATGCGGTATTGCTCCCAGGGTTGTCTTTTCTGTTGGTGTTGGGAAATAGAGATGTGCCAACTATCAGGCGAAAATCGTCATCCCTGCTTTGCCTGTCTCCTTGCTGTTTTTGTTTCTCTTCCGTCACGTTCAGCTGCTGGCTGGTGAAGTGCGAAGGGAGAGGAACATCCTACTGCAGTGTATTCGCCACATAGTCCGTGAAGACTTCTTTGACCAGCACCCACGCCTTCCGCCGTCCTCTCAGCAACACTGATCTTCTGTCTACACCCGAGCCTGACTTTACGGCACTTTGCAGACCATGGCAATACTGATTGCCTTGAAGTTGTTCTTGATTATTAATCTCTTACACACCAACCATGTGTTCCGAACAAGTGTGTTGTCAAGTAATCAAAGGATATTTTGCGTTTCTCAATGAAGATGTTGCGTTCCCGGCTATTCTTTTTCGTCTTTCCACACCCTGGTCGAAGCCCAGGATTATCAAGGCTTTACACTTTTACTATTCGGCTACATTCTGATTTCTAGAATACTACTGTTCAATGCTTTGAGAGTGGAGTTGACGGAATGAGCATGATTGTGTTCTTCTTGTACCATTTTGCCATCGTCACAGCATGATCCACCGGTCATTGAAGATTATTTATGCCGGAACAATCATACCCATGATGATCCAAATCCAAATGGGATTTTTCGGTCTTTGACCACTTTGATCTACTTCACTAGTACTGCTTTGAGAGCTGCAGCTGCGCCTTGGTCTCGACGGTGGCGACGTTCCTTCGGATGCGTGAACGGCAATCTGACTGGTTTTGATGCAAACCGTAATTTTTCGGTTCGCGTCAAAAAATAATTATTCTCTTGACCGTTTTTGTAAAAACAAAATAATACAAGAACCACCCAAAAGGGATTCTCTATCATGACTTGATCATCCTGAAGCACGGTTGCTACACACCAGGGAGTCGTAAAATACGGTATTTTACGCCTGCCTGCTGCACACCAGGTCACTGTAGACAAGCGCTAGCTGGACCCATATGTGCGGGATTTGTAATAATTATACGGTAGGAATCTGTCCAATATCGGATTATCCATATGCAGCACATGCATGTATTGTTGCGAATTGAACACTGTGCTGGGGTTCTTTACCGAATACTGTTTACTATTGAGGTGACTCTTCCAAAGAATCCCTCCACAAAAACAAAAAATAAACATTAGCCGGAACCAGCCGGCACGATCTAAAAATGCACCGATAATCCACTATGACAAGCGGACACTAAACCTAGCCATGTTACTCTGCTCCTAGCAAAGCGAACGGGTTCTTGTCAGCAAACTTTCCTGCGGCCTGAACTGTCCTAGAAGTAGCAGCCCCTTTGCGTTCTTTTTTCTTCTTCTTCTTCGAAGGCTGTTGGCCGCTGCCACCATCACTACTTGGGCCTCTAGGCGCTGACTCGGTGGTGGCGTCATCCATACCATCCTCGACGGTCCGCCACAACATCTCAACTAGAGGCGTATCATGCCTGCTGGTCTCGAGTACATCCTTCACGCTAGAGCATGACTCGAGCAAAGCAAAGCTACTGATACCATCGTACAGGTTGTGTACGCACAGCGGTGGAAAAGGAAGATCCATCACCCAGTTCAGAAGTAGCAAGGCCATGAGAACGCGTTGCCATGCGTTGAAGATATGCACCGTTTGACAGTCAGCACGGCCGCGGAACAGCGGCTCAGCAGCAGCAGCTTGTGCTGTTCTACAGCTGACACTACCACCACTATCGCCCTCCTGACTCGGACGGGCAGCAGCTGGTGGTGCAGAGCCAGCAACGCACCATTGAGCAAGTCGCTTCTTCTGCGATGCGCTCGACTTGCGCGAGTTGAACAGCGCCGATCTGATATTACCCTGGCAGCCATTAACAACGCCAACTAAGAGAATAGCAATGTGCTTGTGTAACACAACTGGCATGGTCTTAGAGCAGCTCGACAGTTTCTTCCACGCAAAGCGAAGCGAAGCTATGACCAGCTGGAGTGCAAGTGGCAAGTCCATCACACACTTAGCTGCACTGTAACATGCTGACAGGAGGAAATGCCGACGCCTCTCCGGATCGTAGTGTGCCATTACTTCCCTGGGAGGAAGATCGCCAATGCCAGCAATAGCGTTTGCGGCCTTCAAGCTAACTGCTTGAACATGAACGTCTCTGGGGGACCGCACAATCTCCTTGACACTAGAGCACCGAGATGTCCCTAGTACTAGCAGGAGAGCACGTAATGGTCGATCCACATCGCTGATAGGCGCGTGGGTCGGCGAATCAAGGTGCAGGCTGATATTGGTGAAGTCGCAAAGCGCCCCGGCAAGTGCACCTGGATGGACGAATCCGAGACGGAAGGCTTCCAGCAGACCGCAGGAGTAGTGGTGCACAGCTTCACCAGCCACATCTATTGCAGCGTGTGGATGCAGTGCACATGGTCTAGCGAGAGGTGTAGATAAACAGTCTACAGACACACAATGCTCAGCAGCTGCCGATGACCATGATGCTGCGGGCCCATATGTACGTATTGAATGCCTGATGGCATTGACAGTAGCTGGGTTTTGCTTGAGTTTCGGCAGATCACAGACCTTCAACAACCCATCGTCAACAGACTCGACGCCCAGAAAGACCAACAGCCACTCAAGCGCATCAACAATGGCATGGTCTTTTCGTTTGTCAGAAGGGAACAAGTGCGAAACCTCCTGAGCGTGCACATAATCATTTCCACATAAAGATGCTGCCAATGGGAGTACGTTCTCGATAGTGGCAATACTGAAGCCACTGAATGCCTGCATCTTGGACAGGACACGGACAAATGATGATCTCTGGTAAAGAGATACAGTAGTTAGACAAGGATGACTACAGCTGATGCTTTTCAGATGGATTACCCCATGCGGAAGGTCGCATATGAAGAAATCGCTGTCCGCCGACAGAACCGGGCATTCCCAGTGGCGGCCAATAGCCGCAATCAGATCATCTGCTTCCTGTTCTGCACGCACTAGTGGTACACCACCATCCACCAGTGCTTCCGTGAAGACCATCAGCGCCCAGACTGTAAGAGCAGTGGCGCTGGGTGCCGGTGCTGCTGCCGACACCGCTGCTGCTGCGGCGGCGTCAAGATGATCCGCATCACGTTGCGCGACACCCCTCAGGTAACGTGCTTGCGCGGCGCCGCGCTGCAGGCTCGTCTGTAGCTTCTCTGCAGAGCACTGTCCATCAAGAACAACCAGGGCATGTACCCCGTGATCTTGCAGCTCGGTGAAGAATTCCCGTAGCCGGCCGTACAACTCTGAATACTGCCCGCCGTAGCGGATCTCTTGCAGATTGCCTCCACGGCCACTCTCCAGGAACAGGTATAGCAGGCCATTTCCATCCACCACAAGTCGTGTATCGCGAAGCATACATTCATGATTCCAAGCCTCACGCATGTCCTTACTGAACACAAAGCTCGTAAGACGTGGTATGCCCATGACGAACTGCTGCTTGAAATCTCAGCTATACTTCTGCTCGATTTCTCTGGCAATGCATTCGTGAGCAAGCCACGAGAAGCTGGGAGCGATCAGTCAGTATAGCTCAAAAACATATTCACACATCTAACTACAGGAGTGAGGACTACTGACTCCATCCCTCCAGACTTCATACGTACTGCAGCTGGGAGCATTCAATAAAACAGGTACTGCTTGTTCATCTCCGCTAGTTTCTATAAGTATAGATCTAACAAGGATATGATACGCAACTACTAGTACTAAAATATTACGAGTTATGACGGCCCTCAATGTGCTAACCAAACATTGTCTGGTGCCAAAGATAGAGATTCAAATCAAAGAGTTGAGAGAGACTACAAGTGCAAGGGATCTTGATCTTCAGAAAGTATTAATTTTTGGCTACTGCCTTCAAAATGGAAAGGCAAAAAGATGATGATGCCTGTATATCAGGGAGTCGTAAAATATTTTACGACTCCCTGCTGTATATACGTGCATGATATGAGTGTGCATGTACATGTGAGCGGCTCGTGTTCAGCCTGGCTCAGGCGGGGATTTCCCGATTTCCCGATATCCACAGCATTTTTCAACGTTTCAAATGATGTCATCTCATTCAAACTGCGTTGATTTTTGTCATCTGTCTTGAAGACGAACATTCGAACAAGAAACAAAGGACGTCGACAGTCTAGTCTGTCGTTTTGTCGATTTTGATTGGATCAAGGCAATTAGAGTCCTGTCTTCCTGATCCATTCCAGATGCCAATACTTGTGCTCTTTATAATTCACAGAACATTCGACGGTTGCTTGAGGCCATGGCTAGTTTCAGGTCATCTGTTTGGGACCCTCTCCTCATCATCAGCCAGATAGTCTTCATGCAGAGTCAGTTCTACGTGCTGTTCTGTCTTTACCTGCTGATATTCACCGGTATGGCTCACATTCAGCCAACTCTAACCCACGTTCTCTCATCTAAGGTAGGAGATCCTCATAGCAAGATGTAGTTGTTTTCCTTCTGCAGTCATCACTTGTGTAAAGTTCAGATTGTGTGTCGATTCACATCACTTCATCCATCTCCAGACACCGGATATTTCGGTGCTCGTACATAGTGCATGTAGGTGTCCTTACTACCGGTATACAAGTATCGTTTGTAATTATATTGTCGGATGTTCTAGTGTGAAAGTCCGGTGGAGTACGAGTCCAGAGATTGTACCTCAAAAATTATTGGTGACTGGTTGTAAGTTCCTTTCCCTGACCATCAACTGTAGATCAGGTATTTTGGTTGTGTATTGAGGGGGGGGGGGGGTCGGGTCACTTCTACAAAATCATTTTGTTGTTACACCGTATTTTCCTGCGTAGAAGCCACACTTTGAACACCAGTAGTTCACCCCAAAAAATCAGTGCAGCTTCCAATGAGTGGGACATACAGATGATGTCAACTAGATCGGGGTACATGACATCCTTGAGAAGATCAACAACTGCGCCATTGACACTGGCACCGTCGCGTGTAGCAGCGATGAACTTCTCGGTAGGGTACTGCAGTTCTGTGGACAGGACCGGGCAAGCTCTTTGCAAGAACACTGACTCGGACCAAGTGCTGGTAGATCTTGAAGTCGCTGCTCACAAAGCGCAATACAATGGCGAGCGCTTCTCCTTGGTAGGTGCTGCCATCAAATATGACACTGACGTGGGGTTTCTCACTCAGTTCCTGCTTGATGGACTCGGGTTTCTCACTCAGTTCCTGCTTGATGGACTCCTTCTCACTCTCAAGGATGAAGGGTATGTAGGAGGCAAGGTGGGTGGAGTCAGTCAACCTCTCTGCCCCGTGCTCCAGCACCGAACGGAGCAGGTCTGCCTTGGCGAGAGGGATACCTGCTTTGAGCGTAGCGGTAGTGACTTCAATTCTCCTCAAACTGATATCAGGTGCCACTGCAGCGCTCAAGCCCGTGCCTGGTAGTTCAGAGGCATGGCGCCGTTGGTACTGCTCCCAAGTCTGAACAACACGTTGTTGGCGAACACCTTGCTCCTTGGCCGCGAGCTTGTCACTCTTGTACCGAGTGGAAACCACGTGGTCTTTCACAATGCTCTTCTTCAATGCTATTGTAGACATGGCACGCCTCACAGAACAGCTTGGTCACGAACATCTCGTCCGGGAACTCTTTTACACGCTGCTGCAGGCTGATGCTAACGGCAGTACTGTGGCTATGAGCTACCCTTGGCTTGTTGGAGATCGTACTATCTTTGCCACTGCGCTCCATGGACCTTTTCCGAGCTATCGTGGCCTCTCGGGCTTCCGCTAAATCTTCCCAAGGCTCACTGCCAGCATTCTCATAATTCTCATCCAACACGTCAAGATCTGATCTGACCCTGAGCCATAGTCGCAGGCCCGATCGCGAACTGGATCAGATTCGATATCTCCCTCCATTCTCAAAAACGCAAATGTGATGCCAAGTGCCGTACCATCTTCTTTGGACCGTCTGCGCATAGCCATAGCCACTACTGTCCCTTTGCATTCTGGCGTATGTGTAGTGGCTTCCTTTTCTGGCATTGTGCGCGCGTTGTACTGTCGTCACGGTGTTTCTAGAAGCAGGGGATGCGCGTGCAGTTGCTGAGTTGGCAGTGTTGCGGTTGTGGTGGCTTGTTACGCTAGTTCCTGTTTTCGCGACGAGGTTATTCGATACACGTCATGTACAGTGCCTTGGTGCATGCTGCCTGTCCATAGACCCTTCTCACAGTAGAAATTTCGTGTGTCTATTCCTTTTGTGTGCAGGATGTGTCACATGTCCTCAAAGACCAAGAAAATGCGTCATTTTACCGTACATGGTACAGGTGGAATCTTGATAATTCGAACCTCGAAATGCCAGGAAAAAACTTCTAATTAGCCGGACATTCTAATTATCCAGACATGAACCCACAACACAATATGTATATCAAAATGCTCTCATGGTCACGCAGAGTTGCGCTATGGACCTTAGACACAGATTTCACTCATACTGAACTGACCGGCACAGCCTGCTCATGCAAACTGAACTGACCAGTACAGTGTACAGTGAACTTCGAATTACACTTTGCTAACTTCGAATTCTCAGCACGAATCCCATCAGAAAAAATTATGTGGGAATCGTATTGACAGAAATCGGTCCTGGAAAAACTTCTAATTAAGCGGTATGTTTGAATTAAGCCATATTTGAATTATCAGGATTCCACCTGTACTACACACATCATCTATTTTTGGGTCCCAGAATCACAAACATACAGGAGACCTGACCTCGCTCTGGTGTGGCTATGTGGAGCGTACGCATTACATCAGAAGATCCGATTTCGCTCGACCAAGACCCTATGCAGAGAAGGATCAGGCGTTGCACACTCTGGGGGTTATGTACTCTTGGTATCATCAGTATCACGCATGATAGTTGTTCCAGTACAATGTACAGCAACGCGGGCAACAGGATGTGTCTGGGTACTGTCTGACGATTCTGCTCCGCACAGACGGTATTCTGCTGAATTCTGCTCGGTTTCCCAAACACCTTGATTCTGCTGGAAATTCTGCCGGCAGAATCCGCCGGACCCTAGTACATGTAGTATCATGGCCTTTCAATTCATACTCTTTGTGTATGATATGGCGGGTACACAGTCTCTTTGTGTATGATATGGCGGGTACACAGTCTCTTTGTGTATGATATGGCGGGTACACAGTCTCTTTGTGTATGATATGGCGGGTACACAGTCTCTTTGTGTATGATATGGCGGGTACACAGTCTCTTTGTGTATGATATGGCGGGTACACAGTCTCTTTGTGTGTGATATGGCGGGTACACAGTCTCTTTGTGTGTGATATGGCGGGTACACAGTCTCTTTGTGTATGATATGGCGGGTACACAGTCTCTTTGTGTATGATATGGCGGGTACACAGTCTCTTTGTGTGTGATATGGCGGGTACACAGTCTCTTTGTGTGTGATATGGCGGGTACACAGTCTCTTTGTGTGTGATATGGCGGGTACACAGTCTCTTTGTGTATGATATGGCGGGTACACAGTCTCTTTGTGTATGATATGGCGGGTACACAGTCTCTTTGTGTGTGATATGGCGGGTACACAGTCTCTTTGTGTATGATATGGCGGGTACACAGTCTCTTTGTGTGTGATATGGCGGGTACACAGTCTCTTTGTGTATGATATGGCGGGTACACAGTCTCTTTGTGTATGATATGGCGGGTACACAGTCTCTTTGTGTATGATATGGCGGGTACACAGTCTCTTTGTGTGTGATATGGCGGGTACACAGTCTCTTTGTGTGTGATATGGCGGGTACACAGTCTCTTTGTGTATGATATGGCGGGTACACAGTCTCTTTGTGTATGATATGGCGGGTACACAGTCTCTTTGTGTATGATATGGCGGGTACACAGTCTCTTTGTGTATGATATGGCGGGTACACAGTCTCTTTGTGTATGATATGGCGGGTACACAGTCTCTTTGTGTATGATATGGCGGGTACACAGTCTCTTTGTGTATGATATGGCGGGTACACAGTCTCTTTGTGTATGATATGGCGGGTACACAGTCTCTTTGTGTATGATATGGCGGGTACACAGTCTCTTTGTGTATGATATGGCGGGTACACAGTCTCTTTGTGTATGATATGGCGGGTACACAGTCTCTTTGTGTATGATATGGCGGGTACACAGTCTCTTTGTGTGTGATATGGCGGGTACACAGTCTCTTTGTGTGTGATATGGCGGGTACGTATGCCCTCCACAGTAGTAAACATTGTGTTGGTGGCCAAAGAATTGGTACGGTGATAACCTGATCAACTTCCGGCGGGCCGAAAACTAATGGTAATAAACAGGTTATATGTCTGTATATCGTGACGCAAATATCGTGGCACAAACTCTGTGTTCAGAGACATCTCACGGCATGCCACTAACCTTGAGCAGGGCCTAGCCACACTTTAACAGCCCTGTGTCATGCCGTGAAATGTCTCAGCACACCCTGTCAGCTTTTTAGCTAAGCAATTGTACACATCTGATGTTTTCAAAACCTGGTATTGTTGCTAGCCATGTTTTCGAACACATAATTTGTGCAGTGTTTCCTCTTATTCTCTAAGTTTATCTTTGCCTCAACATGTGAGTTCGTACTGCATGCCCATGGAGCCCTTATGAACTATACGGTGAAATGATTATCGTGTAATGCTATGCATGTTTGCAGTTGTTATGTCCGTAGTTCTATTATCAAAGTACCATGGTACAGTGCTGTAGGACACCCGGCGTTCAGCTTGTTACAGCTCACCTGCAGCGGTGCAAAGCTTCCCCTGGTGTTTCTTTTATGAAGTTTAGCGTTCCAAGTTGGGTGGTGGTTGCTTCGTTTTGTCGAATCATGGTTAGACCGTACTGTCCGATGGTCTTCCCATTCCATCATCGTCATACACCAGCATTCCAAGGAGCTATGGACTTTAGCTTGTGTTTGTCGCGATGGTGCTTGTCGTCCCCTTTGGCACTATGCGGCATAGTCATTAATAGTCATTAACCTTCGAGGTTGGAAGGCCGTTGTTGGTTAGTGCTATTGAGCAGTGCTCAAGCTCAGTGTCATGTCGCGCGATGTCTCAGTACTCCCCGTCAGTTCTGTGCTGAATTGTTCCCATGGTCATCTGACTGTTCAAGACCTGACAGCTAGTGGACTACACTAACACATTATTTGTGTCCCCGTGTTTCGTCTTCTTCTCTGAATTTGTCCTTGGCTCACCATCCGAGTTTTTTGTGTTTCTTTCTCTGTGTAATGTGTAATGTGTAGATGCTGGTGACCTGGCACCAGGGCTGGCCGATCATTCTCTCCTACTCCCTGAGTGCCCTATCCGGGTAAGTAGTGTATGCAGCGTGTTGTGCAGGTGCATTGCAGGTGCATGTCAGAGTTTATCTGAGTACAGTAAAACCTGTAACTAAAGACCACCGTGACTAGCGACCAGCCTGCTACTACAGACCACCGTGACTAGCGACCAGCCTGCTACTACAGTAAGACCTGTAACTAAAGACCACCGTGACTAGCGACCAGCCTGGTACTACAGTAAAACCTGTAACTAAAGACCACCGTGACTAGCGACCAGCCTGCTACTACAGTAAAACCTGTAACTAAAGACCACCGTGACTTGCGACCAGCCTGCTACTACAGTAAAACCTGTAACTAAAGACCACCGTGACTAGCGACCAGCCTGCTACTACAGTAAAACCTGTAACTAAAGACCACCGTGACTAGCGACCAGCCTGGTACTACAGTAAAACCTGTAACTAAAGACCACCGTGACTAGCGACCAGCCTGCTACTACAGTAAAACCTGTAACTAAAGACCACCGTGACTAGCGACCAGCCTGGTACAGGTCGTCCCCCGTTAATACGAGTCCGGTTAGTACATAAACCCCGTTAGTACATAAGAAATCTCAAGTCCCGGACGAAACGTGATCACTTCCATACAAATTTTGTCGGTTAGTACATAATTCGTTAGTACATAAACCCCGTTAGTACATAACATTTCTCCGTACCCGCATGCCACCTACCTCAATAGTACATAAGTTGTTGGTCTTTTGGCCTTCCAGTGGAGGCACATCGTGTTCTAGTTTCTACTTGTGGACGCAATTAGCTCAGATATCAGAGCACACATCACAAACCGACAAAGCTCTGATTTTTTCCGAGTGACTGTACAGGCGCGGCTGGGCATGTATCATGTAAACTGTAGAATCTTCGCTGACTGTGTCCGTTATAACATAATTTTTATGTTATATCGAGGGAAGCAAGAATATCTCGCTCCCTAGTCATGGTAGCAAGAAACACTCAGAAAAGTTGAAAAAAGTGAAAAATTCTGGTACACAAGCAAGCTATGTACACTTTCGTTTAGTACATAAACCCCGTTAATACATAACATTTGTCAAGTCCCAGAGATTATGTATTAACGAGGGACGACCTGTACTACAGTAAAACCTGTAACTAAAGACCACCGTGACTAGCGACCAGCCTGCTACTACAGTAAAACCTGTAACTAAAGACCACCGTGACTAGCGACCAGCCTGGTACTACAGTAAAACCTGTAACTAAAGACCACCGTGACTAGCGACCAGCCTGGTACTACAGTAAAACCTGTAACTAAAGACCACCGTGACTAGCGACCAGCCTGCTACTACAGTAAAACCTGTAACTAAAGACCACCGTGACTAGCGACCAGCCTGCTACTACAGCCCACTTCACCAGGCACGGGTGGTCTCACTTTCATTTATGGTTGTGCGGTGCAAACCTCTAACTAAGGACCACCTGCCACTAAGGACCGCTTTCTCTGGCCCCAAGTGCAAGGGGTGGCCGTTACAGTCCATTTCAAAACTATAGACGCGTAGGGTTTTTGAAATATTTCAAATTTGGCTGGAACTTTTTGGGAATAGTTTTCGGAATATTGCTCAGGTCCGCTCCACAATTGCTCTCATATAGTTTCTAAACGATTGGATAACAGACGCCCAATTTGGAAAAATTTATGCACAAAGTGATCACAGATGTTATGTGGTATAGATGCTGGCATAATGGTTTTTGCCTAGGTACGCGTCTATAGTTTTGAAATGGACTGTAGTTACAGGTTTTACTGTGAATGTACAGCAAAGGGATGCAGCACTATGCAGGTGCACGAGGATTGAATGGACCAGTTGCCCAGTGATGACGTACATGCGAAACGTTGTGCAAACCTGCGGGACGAAATGCATGTCGCACTGGTTTTAGATCTGTGCAGAGCACCCACTTCATCGAAATCATGTGTGCAGATGATATTATGATGACATTGTGTACACAGGCTTTTATCAAGAGTGCACAAGCCCCAAGAGTGTGTGTGCAACTCCACTTTGGGTGCTGTTCTGGCAGAATTTCAAGTCGACGTCGTTATTATGATGCGATGCGATGCGTGTTGTGCATACATTATCAGACGTATCCTGGAGCTGTGGTGGACACATCCTGTCCGAATGAGTGCAAGGAAACATGTGTGATGTGTTGACACCCAGTACGAATGTTGTAGTGTATCACTCGTGCGAGGAGCATTTTATTTTTTATTATTATTAAATGACCCAAAGGCAATGTGCCTATCGAGGGGTTCATTTGATTGAAAGAACAGTACTACTACTAGTACATGTAGATGTATGTACAAAGACAAGTAGGGATTGATGAGCATTGCATCATAACAAAATGACGTCAACTTAAAAAAGTCAACCCCAGTTTGCTTTGCTGGTGTGTAGCTAATGCATGCGTGTGCTCTTCACCTGCTATGTGCTGCAGTGCCATTAGCCTGCGCTATGCCGTGCGCCGCTCCAAGAACTGTATGGACTTCACAGTCACCATGTTCTTCATGCACGCCCTGTTGAGCTGTGTGACGCGAGGCTTTCCGTTTGCGTGGCAATGGTGGGTGGTGACGTCAGTATCGGCTACGGTCATGGTTGTGCTCGGCGAGTGGCTTTGCATG